GTCGGGACATACAGCAACCCGTCTCGGAAGAGGAGTCCATCTCGGAGGCGGAAGGCATGGAATCGCGGGTTGGTCAGGTTTGCGATTACTTCCTGGGCATAGGGGTCAGTCTGTTGAACTGCCTTGACCTTCTCCTCGAATGCCGACAGTGCTATCACCTGAAGGGCAGCGATTCTGAGGCGACTTGCATCCAGCAGCACTTGGTGCTGCTGTGTGTAAGCCGGCTCGTCCGGCTTGATCTCCAGCTGGGGCTTCCTGGAGAGGGCGTCGGGCACGACCATCTCCCTTCCAGGCTTGTACACGATCTCGTAGTCAAACTCGGACAGGAACATCGCCCATCGCGCTTGGCGACGGTTGAGCATGCGACTGGTGGTGAAGTACACCAGGTTCTTGTGGTCACTGTGGACCACCACCTTGTGCTTGGATCCGGAGAGGAAGTGCCTCCACTCCTTGAGTGCCGTGACAATGGCAAGCATCTCCTTGTCGTACACTTCGTAGTTGATCTCTGGTGCCGTCAGCTTGCGTGACATGTACGAGATCGGATGCATCGACTCGTCGGGTCCAAGCTGGCAGAGCACGGCTCCCAAAGCATAGTCGCTGGCGTCTGTCTCAACAACGAATGGCTTATCCGGGTCTGGGTGTGCGAGCACAGGTGCCGTCGTGAAGGCTTGCTTCAGCAGATCGAATGCTTCCTGAGCCGTGGGAGACCACTCGAAACTCCCCGAGTTGCCCGTCAGGGCGTGCAGTGGGGTAGCTATCTTGCTGAAGTCGTGGATGAATGTCCTGTAGTAATTGGCAAGACCCAGGAACATCTGCAATTGCTTCACAGACTGGGGCGGGACCCAGTCGAGGACAGCTTGCACCTTGCGGGGATCCATCTTGATGCCCTCGGTGTTGACAATGTGTCCCAGGAACTCGACTTCGTCCGTGTCGAAATGGCACTTCTCGAGCTTGCAGTACAGTCCATTGCGGCGGAGCTGTTCCAGGACAGCACGCACATGGTCTTCGTGTTGCTCGGGGTCCTCGGAGTAAATGAGAATGTCATCCAAGTACACAGCCACACAGTGTCCCAGATCCTTCATGACATGATCCATGAACGCCTGGAATGTGGCCGGCGCACCTTGCAGCCCGAATGGCATCACCAAGTATTCGAACTGCCCCAAAGGGCAAGTGAAACTGGTGAGCCACTCGTGGCCCTCGGCGATCCTCACGAGGTTGTACGCCCCTCGGAGGTCCAGCTTGGTGAAGACTCGGGCGCTTCGGATCTTCCTGAACAGGTCTCGAATGTTTGGGAGTGGGTAGAACTGCTTCTTGCATGCTTGGTTCAAACGGCGGTAGTCGACGCACAGCCGTAGCTCGCCGGATTTCTTCTTCACGAACAGAATTGGAGCGGCAACCGGGGAGGTGCTCCGGCGAATGAATTCCTTGTCAAGGTTCTCCTTGACATAGTCTTGCAGTGCCTGCATCTCCAACTCTGTGAGGGGGTACACCGGGCCACGGACCGGGTGCTTGTCCGGGTCGACCAGCTCGACGCGGTGGTCCCACGGTCGGTGGTCGGGCAAGTGGTCAGCCTGTTGCTTGCTGAACACATCGTTGTAGTCTTCGTATTTGTCTGGGAGCGGGAGGTCTGTTTCCGGAGTTGCGGTGCTCAAGGCTCCAATCAGGACTGGCTGGCCCCGCTTGAGCATTCTCTTGAGGCCCGCGGCGCTGACGAACGACACATGAGGCAAGGTGGGCACGCTCGGAGCGTCTTGTGCGCTCTCGGTATCTGGCTCGGAGGGTGCAGAGTCCGGAGGCAACGACTGACTTGGCTCCGTTGGGAGCGATACGGTTTCGGACCGACACACCTCTTGGCAATGACTGGATGTGAATCGGATGATCTTCTTGCCCCAACGTATCCAAGGCTCGTGGGATTGCAGCCACGGGTAGCCCAGGATAACTTGGTGGTATGGGGACTTGATGATCTTGAAGGTGATGACTTCCTTGTGGCTATCGATGTCCATCACAAGGGGCAAGGTCTCGTGCGAGATGCCCCCGGATGTGAGTGGTTGGCCATCGATGGCCCGTCCATCAATGGGGCTGTCCAAGCATCGGAGTGGAACTTGGTGGCGTTGGGCAAAGTCAGCATCCATGCAGTTCAGCTGGGCCCCAGAGTCGATGAAGGCCTTGGCGGTAAACTGGGACTCTTGGGATTGGCAAGATACGGGAATCTCAAAGCACATTGGTGAAGTACCACTCGAGAGGCTGCTGATGAGTGCACGCTCTGCATGGGTAGGGTCAGGAGGTTTGTTGTTGGAGTCCGGCGGGGCTCCTGATGCAGCCGCCGGACTCAGCGAAAACCCTGCTGTTGCTTCTCAGGGCAGTGCTTTGCGATATGGCCTTTGCCTCCACAATAGAGGCAGAGGCCCAAGCGACGACGTCGGTCGCGCTCGTCGATGGCCAGCTTACCCTTCGCTGCGGGCTGCGGGCCAAGAGGTGCCTTTAAGGCGTCCACTTCCATTGGAGTGGGTTCGGCCGAGGCGTAGGCGTTGGTCGGGAATCTTGAGCTTGCGCGGGGGGCGGGCTGGTAGCGGCGCTCTGCACGTTGTTCTTGACGGCGCTCGTACAGGCGGTTGTCGATCGATATTATGTGTTCGACAAGGTCGTCGAGGTTGAACGGCTCTCGGGACTTGGCGAGCTCGTCCTTGACCTCTGGGTGCAGACCACGGCGGAGGGCAAAGCGGAGGGCCGCGTCGTTCCAGTCCGTGTCGACTGCGAGGCGACGGAACTCGGCGATGTAGCTGGCGGCCGATCGGGTTCCTTGGGTGAGCGTGTCTAGGGCTCTCTCGGCTGACTTGGTTCGATCGGGGTCACCGAACGAGGCGTCGAGGCGGCGGACAAACTCCTCGAAGTTGTCCAGCACCATGGCGTCGTTGCGCTCCAGCACCGGAGCGAACCATGCTGCTGCAGTTTCGCGAAGGAAACTGGCAGCGAACATGACCTTGAGGCGCTCGGTGCTGTAGCGGCGAGGTTGGACCGAGTAAATCAAGCGCAGGTGGTTCAAGAACGAACGAGTCTCCGAACGGCGACCCGAGAACATGGGTGGGTCAGCCATCCGTGGCTCGTTGGGAGCCTGGGGAAGTTGGGCGAGGAAGTTGCCCAGCGCGGCGTGCTGCTGGGCATTGGGAACTTGGGCTTGCTGGAGGGCAGCGTATGCGTGCTGCAACTGACCGAACTGCTCGTGCAGTTGCTGATAGGCAGCGAACAGTTGGTTGGCATCGGGGGGAGGAGGAGCTTCAGCCTCCATCGGCGGGACGTCGGGATTGTACATGGTTAACAGAGAGACAGGGCACAGGGCACAGGGCAAGGCAAGGCAAGGCAAGGCAAGGCAAGGCAAGGCAAGGCAAGGCAAGGCAAGGCAAGGCAAGGCAAGGCAAGGCAAGGCAAGGCAAGGCAAGGCAAGGCAAGGCAAGGCAAGGCAAGGCAAGGCAAGGCAAAAGGAGGGGAGACGACAAACTGTAACAGGACTGGGGACTGGACGAGAGCGGACGGACTGGAGTGAGCGGGTAACGACTGGTTTACTAGGCGAAGGACGGTGTTGTCGTCTCGCCGGTTTATTTTCGGCGGGCGACGCCTTGCATTTACATCCCTGGGGGGTAGCGGACCGGCTTGCCTGCGCTCCTTGGCGCGGGCTAAGCCCCCTCGGGATGCCTTCCGGGTCGTCCCGGAGCTCCCTGTCCGCGTGCCCATTACACAGCCCTCGTGGATGTGTTTATGGTTGCACTGACAACAGACCGGTCCGGGCGCTTAGTAGCCAGGTAGTCATGTCGCAAGTTTCAAGCCTAGCAAGCCAACCGCCATCAGCGATCGCACGACCGATCATGGCATCGACGACAAGATGTGCGCTCAAACGGCTCTTTGACGTTTGAGACTGCGTGCGTCATAGGCGCACGGTGGCTAGTCTGCATTCCAATGGCTACGGACATTGGGATCTGACGACAAAACACAGCCCTTGTGGGTGTGTTCATGGTTGCATGATGTTTATGGTTCCGGGCCCTATTCGTAGCGGCCGGGTGGTCGAGTCACAAGCAGCAAGGAACTTGATAAGTTGAAGTCTTCATAGTGAAGCCGTTGTTCGTGAAGCCATGTCATCAAATTCCTAGGAGTGTTGTTCCCGATCGGCTACCCAGACGCTCGGGGCTACATGCGTACCAAGACAGACGCATGGTGGCTAGTCTGCATTCCAATGGCTACGGACATTGGGATCTGACGACAAAACACAGCCCTTGTGGGTGTGTTCATGGTTGCATGATGTTTATGGTTCCGGGCCCTATTCGTAGCGGCCGGGTGGTCGAGTCACAAGCAGCAAGGAACTTGATAAGTTGAAGTCTTCATAGTGAAGCCGTTGTTCGTGAAGCCATGTCATCAAATTCCTAGGAGTGTTGTTCCCGATCGGCTACCCAGACGCTCGGGGCTACATGCGTACCAAGACAGACGCATGGTGGCTAGTCTGCATTCCAATGGCTACGGACATTGGGATCTGACGACAAAACACAGCCCTTGTGGGTGTGTTCATGGTTGCATGATGTTTATGGTTCCGGGCCCTATTCGTAGCGGCCGGGTGGTCGAGTCACAAGCCGCAAGGAACCTGATAAGTTGAAGTCATCGTTAATGAAGCCGTTGTTAGTGAAGTCGTTGTTCGTGAAGCCACTCAAGTGAAGTTACGGAATGTGAATCCATGACACCAGGTAGTCATGTCGCAAGATTCAAGCCACAGCAAACCAACCGCCATCAGCGATCGCACGACCGATCATGGCATCGACGACAAGATGTGCGCTCAAACGGCGCCTTGACGTTCGTGACTGGGAGCGCTTCACAGCGCGCGGTGGCAAGTCTGAATCCCGATGGCTTCGGACATTGGGATCTGACGACAACACACAGCCCCCGCGGATGTGTTCATGGGTGCACTGACAACAGACCGGTCCGGGCCAAATCCATCATGGTCAGGAGGTCCTGTCGCAAGTCGCAAGCGATCACCCACTCCAAGTCCCCAACATGCATGACTCAATCCAAGTCACCAAATGCCCCGAACGGCTTCGGACGCTCGGGGCGCACTCCATCATGTATTTGATGGGGTGTACGTGGTAGCAAGTCCTCTTTGGACGCAAAGGGTGCAGCCTTCATGGATGACCCTGGTCCTGAACGTGCTCTGTCGAGGTATGTATTGATTTGCAGCGTCTTTTGGAACTCAGAATGGTGCACCACGATGACCAAAAATTCCCTTTGAACTGAACAGATCGCATCAAAAGCCTGCATGACTGCTTGACTGTATATGCGCTGCGCCACAATAAACCAGACTTGTGTGATGGGGGTGCTGTGTTGGGATGGGTGAAACCAGGTGGAATCCACATTCTTTCGTGTGTTTGCAGTAAGCATATCGTTCCAGTGTGTTTGTATGAGCCAGTACCCCACCATGAACCCGTCGTCGCTCAAGTCGCTCGTGGAGAATGCCAGTATCGAGCAGCAGTATTACGTCTTTGGCATCCTCAAAGAGGCCAATGTCCCGCTGTCGTTCAACGACAACGGTGTGATCCTCAACCTATCCGCCGTCCCAGCCGAAGTCCTCCAGCGCATCGCCGCCTACATTGCGTCTGATGGCAATACCACAGACTCAATGGAAATTGACAATGTCACGGGCGATGTGGTCGACACCAGCAACGACATGTCCGTCGACGACGATGAAGGCCCGCGCACACGCGAGAGTGCGTCGGATCCAGGAGACCACACCCGGGATGCCGATCATGCCATAAACTGGAAGAAGCAAGAGAACCCAGCGTTCGCCGTCATAAGACGACATATCCGGGCAGGGGGGCGCACTGCTGCTCGGACGTTAACTGCCGAGTATGTCGGCTCCCTGAAGGACCACCTGCGACTGTGTGGGTTTGGGTTCACAGAGTGAAAGGATGGTGTTGCTGAACGTTTTGGGTACAAAAAAATATATTGAAAGACTCACTGGACACTGAGGCCAACCACTCGCTCACGGCTGGGTTGGTATTTGGAAGCGGGCTTGCTTTTGTAGTGAAAGAGAGCCATTTTGGCGTTGGCGGTGACTCCGTATCCGTGTTCGAAGCATTGACCGAGCAAATATCGGGCCTTGGGGAAGCTCGTAGCCTGTATCAAATTTGCGATTGCTCGTTCGTAGTTGCCTTGAGCGAAGTAGAGCTCTCCGAGGACCGCGCGGGTAGCTTCATTGGTGGGTTCTCTATCGACGAGTTCACACGCCATACCGATGGCGGTATCGTTGGAGCGTTCAGTCCCAAAGCCCAGTGAGTGACATTGAATGAGGATAATTCTGGCAAAGGTAGAGCGTCTCGAGGCGAAGCGACACCAGATCGACAGCCAACGGATTTCCGGATACGATTCCCAGGTCGCTCGGTTTTGCTCCATCGAAGCTTCAAACGAATGTAAATGTCCCCAGTTTTCCCGGATGCCGATGCCCAAACACTGACACCAATTCTTCAACAGATCTGCCATTGACTTGAGCGCTTTGGAAAGGAGGTCGTCTTGGTTTGAGAAATTGGAGACCCGAAACCAGGAGTTTGTTGCAAGCTTGTTGTCCTGCTCGGTTCCCAATCCAAGATGATGGAGCCATCCAAGGATGAAGGCGTATCCAAGTTCCCACCTCTTGAATCTCTGTTGCTCGTCATCCTTCTCCTTGCAGGCGGAAAATACATCTGTCCAGGAATCGCTGGTGTACGTGTCGGGTTGCGATGTGTCGAGTCCTTCGATGATTTCCATAGCATCGGAGAATGACTCGTTTTGCAGGGCAGTGGTCAGTCTCTTCATCGGATCATCGACAATGGTATCTTGGTCTAGGTGAGTACCACAATCATCAATTGGTCGAGTGAGTTGGGATATCGAAAGTGGTCGAATATGCTATGTGACGTACCTGAATCAACATGCATGGCCTCGCCTGTGTGGATATACTCCTCGACGATTTCACCTTCTTCAAGGCCCTCTGGTTCCATGTCGATGAACTCGCCGTCGGCATCAAAGAATTGATCTTCGGGGTCGAGTCGGGCTTGAGTTTCAACACTCGTTTCCGAAGGCGGAGCGCTGGGTGGCGCTGACGATGTTTCGTCATGGGTGTCGAGTAATTCCATGAACCTAGAATGCAGGTCAGCGGAACTGGGTCGAGTTGTTGCCTTGACCGAGAGACAGTCTTCGATAATGCGTCGAAGCCGACGGTCGATTCCTCCGGATATGGTCGGTCGCTTGGAGGCCTGGTGGAATCGACGGATTGTGTCGATATCATCGACTGGTTCGTCCCATGCGTCTCTGCCATCGAGCAGGATTTCGCAGCAAGAGACACCAACAGCGTAGACATCAGAGTTGAAGTTTGGACACAAAGGAATATGGCTCCGGACCAACTCCGGGGCCATATACTCGTAGGTTCCAAAGGGGTCGAATTCCTTGTTCTCGATCATGGAATTGCCTTCTAGACCCTCGCGGATCTTGAAAGCGCAAACAAAATCTGTCAGGCTGACACGCAGTTGGTCGTCCAGGAGGGCGTGGGTGGGCTTGATGTCTCCATGGACGAATCGATTTGCATGAAGGTACTCAAGACCCCTTGCTATATCCGCCATCCATCGGACCTTGATAGGGAGCTCAACCGGAGGGTGTGTGAACATGAAGGTGACAAGGTCCCTGTTCACCTCGAGCTGGGACACCGTCATTGCTATACCGCTGGAAAAGTAGATGCCGATAAGCTTCGATATCCTGGGATGGTTGAGTTCAGCCCATACCTTGACTTCCCAGTTGAAGGCGACCAAAGGGTTATGCTTCGAATATGGTGGCTTCTGAAACCGCTTGATGGCGACGGCTTGGCCCTGGTATGTCCCGACGACAACCCTGGTCGTTGGACTCGATTTCAAGACATCGACCGACTTTCGGGATGTTCGCACGCTCCCCTTCTCCAAGACACGGCAAGGGTAGAGGGGGCCGGAAATATCGATGTCTTCGTCTTCTTCCCACATGTTCGATGATGGAGGGGTGGTGGCATGAAGGCCCTGTGGTGGCTGGCTTGTTGGGGTTGTCCGCCTGGAAGATACGCGAAGGCCAGCCAGAATGTGGCCATCCACGTGTCGCACGTGGACGGTTTTTCTTTCGTGTCACCGGCCGGCCCGCAAGCCAAAAGCCCCGCCCGCCCCCCGGCCTCTCGGGCTTCTCCATCCCTTGTGGTCCTGACGATGACGTTACTGGGGTCGTTTATGCTGGCCTGGCTTTCATGGGGATGATTTTCCGTGGATCTTCGACGTTGACCCAGCTGTGACCTCGGTCGCTGTCTGGCGAAACCGAGACGTTTCCATGCGTCTTCATTTTCATTGGAGTCAGATTTCGGCATATCTATCGCACTGGCTAGGCCAGAGACACAAGGGAGACAACCATTCCCCCCACGTAAGTATCCGTCACGTTGCAGGCGTCTCTTGAGCATTTTGGTTGGGTATCTGGTATCCACCATCCAGAGCGCTGCCGATTCTAACCATATGGCTCGTTTTCCTTTTATGCGAGACGCCGTTGCTGTGACGAACCACTGATCCCGATAGTCCGTGGCCCCAGGTAAGTCGGCATCTGGATGCACACGCCACCATATCCATGTCGACACCATCCCGGGATTGGGAGCCCTCATGCTGTTGATTTGAGAGCAACCCGACGACCTGCTGCTTCTGGTGGCTGGTCGTTGGGTTTCACGTTCACTCTGGTATAAACCGGGAGTGATCACCTTCTGGACATTGACCATGGAGAGAGTAAGTACTCCATACTCTCTCTTGAATCGAATGATAGTGAGTAGTGATATATGATATCTCTCTTGATTGAGTTCAATTGAGGATCATCGGCGGTGCTGCGGTGCCGCGGACGTCAATACAGCCGTTTTTGTATCGGCGGTATATATATATCTCTTTTTCTGAAAATATATAGTTCAGAATCGGGCTTGGGCCTGCAAGAGGCACCGCCGATCTGTTCAACAGGTCGATAGCTCCCTCCATGGTATCTGAGTAGAAAGAGTGATAGAGTAGTTATGGTGTGGGAACGACTCGATGATGCGATCAGAGATCATCAAGTCAGCAACAAAACAACCACTCCATGAGCCAGCGTCACGAATCAACCAGTGAACCCGGCGGTGGTCGATGCACGCAGGGTGGTACAAAGGTACTTTGCATTTTTCAGCGGGTCGATGCAGGACCCACCGCCGCCAAAGTCAACTGGCCCATATGCTACACTCCATAGCCAAGACTGGACAGCAAGTCATCTCTTCAAATCAGACATGGAGAGAGTAAGTACTCCATACTCTCTCTTGAATTGAATGATAGTGAGTAGTGATATATGATATCTCTCTTGATTGAGTTCAATTGAGGATCATCGGCGGTGCTGCGGTGCCGCGGACGTCAATACAGCCGTTTTTGTATCTGTGGTATATATATATCTCTTTTTCTGAAAATATATAGTTCAGAATCGGGCTTGGGCCTGCAAGAGGCACCGCCGATCTGTTCAACAGGTCGATAGCTCCCTCCATGGTATCTGAGTAGAAAGAGTGATAGAGTAGTTATGGTGTGGGAACGACTCGATGATGCGATCAGAGATCATCAAGTCAGTAACAAAACAACCACTCCATGAGCCAGCGTCACGAATCAACCAGTGAACCCGGCGGTGGTCGATGCACGCAGGGTGGTACAAAGGTACTTTTGCATTTTTCGGCAGGTCTATGTGACCCCGCCACACACAACGCTTCAGGACAAGTACATCGAAGCCCATCTGCTACCGCGGCTTCGTGTGTTTCTGACTCCAATGTGCACCCTGTTTCCTTCCTCGCCATCAGTGCTGTGAGAAATGCCATCGTGCGTTTTTTTTCTCTGGTGTTATGCAGCAACTTCATATACTGCATACAACCAGTCATGGGTGTCGACCTCTTTCTTATGACACAAGAGCAGGGTGAAGAATACGCCCGCGAACAGAACCAACCCACGACCAACAACCACAACAACCACCGGCGCTCATTGCGCTTGCGTTCCCAAGTGCCCCCCGGACGAATGTCGACTCCCACGTCAAAGTACAATCTCCTCGAGCGCAAGGGTAGCAATCGCAACATCCCGAACTATGTCACACCCGTCAGACCCCCGACCTATGGCGATAACACCGAACAAGACGACACCGTTGTCCCTGGCCAGGCAAACGAAGACCGAGCTACTCCGCTGAGCCGCTGGAGCTCTGGATCGAGTATGTACAGCAACGCCGCTGCTTCTTCTTCGTCTTCCGAGCCCAAGCACACTGGAAGCAGATGGGGTCTCTGGAGTTCGTTGTCCAAGTCGTCCAATGCCGAATCGGATGCATGGGGGCATCGCTCGCGTGCGGCATCCATCGATCAACTCCAGCAAAGCGCCAACAACGACCAGACCGATTACACTCCCGAGATCAATAGCCGCAGACGGGTTCCATATGAACCAAGGTCGTCTCAAACCCTGAACCGACGACCGTCGCTTGGACGTAGTGTTTCGTCGCTCAGTCGCCCGAGTTCTTCGACCTCGGCTTTCGGTGCTTCAAGACGTTCGTTGAATGCCGGCAATACCCTGCGACGCTCGACCAGCTCCCGCCGCCCCAGTGTCCTGACTACCACACAACCCAGACGATCCCTGAGCGGTGCGCACCGTCGCCCCAGTATGCCGTCGACCCCCCGTCCGAATGACTTTTCCGCGAGACGATCGCTGAGCAGTGCGACTGGTAGGCCCGACCCCAGGCGTTCGGCCCGACTCGGATCTCGACCATCGCTTTCGTACAGGGGTCAGATGTGAACTGAGCCAAGGATTTCTTTTGTGGGGCTCGATGACAGAGATGGACAGAGCCGAGGCAGTTCGCATCTACGAGGAAGCAATCCGCTTATCCAGACAGAACAATGGGGGTAGTGTATCACTGCCCCCGGACGAGCCGGAGCAATCGTGGCTCAAGACCAAGTATCCCACGCTCTATACGATGGCGACGACGAATCCCGAGGCCGACTTTTCCGAGAAGCTGAAGCTCATACTAGGGCTGGCGACACAGTACCCGCACCAAGAGCAGCGCGACAAGATTGCTGGCCATGAGATCTTTGGTTGGTACAGCGCACCCCTCAACTTGGACAGCTCAAGTAAAAAGTGACTTTAGAAAGTCATAGTCTGGCATGACGTGGTGTGGAATGGCACTGCAATAAGCAATAAACTGGAACATTGGCACATTTAATGCAGATGGGATGCTCTGACACAAATCCCGGATGGTCGTCCGTGATTTAATAGACTCGATCATCTCGCGCTTTCTCTGCTTGAACTGGATGGTGTCCTCCATATGGGTTTGTTTCTTCATGTGGCTGACTCGGTCCCACGGCAGACCTGTGGGTGACAACAACGACACCCACATATAGCCGAGGGAAATGAGATCGTCCTTGAAGGTCGGGTTGATATGCCAGTGTGTGGCGAGGGAGGTGTATTTCACGGTCCCTCCGAAGGGCTGCTCGCGGTGATACTGGACCTGGCACTCGTCCATGTTTCGCGTGAGCCCGAGATCAATGAGATAGACGCGGTATGGATCGGATGCATCGGCGCAGAAGGCAAAGTTGGCTGGCTTGATGTCCCTATGGACAAACCCGAGCTGGTGAAGCTCATCAAGCCGGTTCAGGGTTTCTGTGATGAGCCGACACAACAGCGTGGCATCAGGGAGTGGTTGCTTCCGAAGGGACTCGAGGTTCGCTCCGAGAAGCTCCATGGGCAGCACCAGCTCACCGCCCTCTTGGAAGTAGGGTGGCTCGACCCAGGGCCATCGGTCGTTGTAGCGTTCGCCCAACTCGCGGTAAATCTCATACTCCCTCATGAGACTCTGGCTCGGTATGCCCGAGCAGCTGAGCTTGAGAGCGCATGTCCTGTCACACTCTCGCCGTTTGATGACGGATGCTTGATAGACTTTCCCAAACCCACCCTTTCCGAGGACATTCGACGTATTCACCTCGTACCCCATCTCTTTGGCTCGCTCAGGATCGATATCCATATCGCTGGCTGGTTGAACTGGCATGATTTGCTGGTGGTGCAGAAAAAAAGGGCCAAAACGACCTCACGCTCCGGACCAAAGGCGCGCTTCGGTGAAACGATAGACGGTGGGACGGTTATGTATTCGAGAAAAATGGATTGGAAAGAGAGGATGAACTTACCTGGACGTTTGACTGAAGCAAAGAGTCATATACCACTACAGAGAAAAAGAGAAAGCCCGATCAGGTGTCGAAGCCGGACAACGAAGGGACTTGGTTCATGGAGTGCCTTGTAGTGCTCGTCCGAGGCCATATGGTGCAGGAGTGCCTGATGTAACCTCCCGCCGCATAGAGGCGCTGGTGACGGCATAATATCAAATTGAACGCTGGGTAGCAACGATGGTGCTTGATCACTGGTTGGCTTGTGGTGCTCGTCCGAGGCCGTATGGTGCAGGAGTGCCTTATGCAATCTCCCACCGCATAGAGGCGCTGGCGACGGCATAATATCAAATTGAACGCCGGATAGTAACGATGGTGCTTGATCACTGGTTGGCTTGTGGTGCTCGTCCGAGGCCGTATGGTGCAGGAGTGCCTTATGCAATCTCCCACCGCATAGCGGCGCTGGTGACGGCATAATATCAAATTGAACGCTGGGTAGCAACGATGGTGCTTGATCACTGGTTGGCTTGTGGTGCTCGTCCGAGGCCGTATGGTGCAGGAGTGCCTGATGCAACCTCCCGCCGCATAGAGGCGCTGGCGACGGCATAATATCAAATTGAACGCTATGTAGTAACGATGGTGCTTGATCACTGGTTGGCTTGTGGTGCTCGTCCGAGGCCGTATGGTGCAGGAGTGCCTTATGCAATCTCCCACCGCATAGCGGCGCTGGCGACGGCATAATATCAAATTGAACGCTGGGTAGCAACGATGGTGCTTGATCACTGGTTGGCTTGTGGTGCTCGTCCGAGGCCATATGGTGCAGGAGTGCCTGATGCAACCTCCCGCCGCATAGAGGCGCTGGCGACGGCATAATATCAAATTGAACGCTGGGTAGTAACGATGGTGCTTGATCAATGACTGCCTTGTGGTGCTCGTCCGAGGCCGTATGGTGCAGGAGTGCCTTATGCAATCTCCCACCGCATAGCGGCGCTGGTGACGGCATAATATCAAATTGAACGCTGGGTAGCAACGATGGTGCTTGATCACTGGTTGGCTTGTGGTGCTCGCCCGAGGCCGTATGGTGCAGGAGTGCCTGATGCAACCTCCCACCGCATAGAGGCGCTGGCGACGGCATAATATCAAATTGAACGCTGGGTAGCAACGATGGTGCTTGATCACTGGTTGGCTTGTGGTGCTCGTCCGAGGCCGTATGGTGCAGGAGTGCCTGATGCAACCTCCCACCGCATAGAGGCGCTGGCGACGGCATAATATCAAATTGAACGCTATGTAGTAACGATGGTGCTTGATCACTGGTTGGCTTGTGGTGCTCGTCCGAGGCCGTATGGTGCAGGAGTGCCCGAGGCAATCTCCCACCGCATAGCGACGCTGGCGACGGCAGAGTAGGACAGGCCTGGCCTGAACAAAGCCCCGACGTTGGTGGCGCTTGTCGAAGCGGTGCGGGAGGCGGATGGATGCCCTCCTCCCTCTTGTTCCGGCGGGGTCGGAACCGTGAAAACGCAAAATTCGCCACACCGCGCCGCACTGCGCATTGCTGCGCGCGTCCACCATTGGTTGTTCCCCGATACCGTGACCATGCGGCCATGCGCCGCGCGTGCTGATTGGCCATATTTCAAGCTGCTGCGCATCCTACAGACCGGCCAGGGTCGATGCGAATGCGTCTGTCTCGCATGTCTGCTTGGTGTCTCCTATGTTCGACTTGTCGATTTGAGCCATGTATCCCGAGGCGAATATGGAACCGCGTGAGTGGTTCAATGATACGTGTCGAGCGTTTCCAGGTCGTATCCATTTCCTCGTATGTGATTGCTCAACATACCACTCTCTTTTTCAGCCTTGCGTCGCACTCTCCTCGCAGACGTTCGAGATATTCTCGAGCAGAACCCGAACGAACAGGGATTCAGACCCCTTTTCCAAAGCTTGTTCCAACTTATAAAAGAAGGAAAAGACAATGATATCTTCCATCCGATTTCCTGGAGATTATTCCTCAATGTCGTCAAGACCAGTATTGCGAATCTGTTCGAAGGTTATCGTGCATCACGCACTAATAATCAGCTCAGGGACCTGTAAGCATGCTGCCTCGTCGAACCCAGGTGCTCGGCATCAAGCCGACGACAGGACTTTTGCTGACTGTGTATCTGGTTCATTTGTACGCAAACACAACACCACGTTCGATGGACAAAAGAGCCGTTTCGGATGAAGTCAGACGGCATCTCGCCGACCTGGCTCGCTACTTGGATCAGGTCAAGATCATATGGAACTTGCTTATCGTCCAGGAAGATATGCTACCGTTATACTTCTCCTACAACCGAGTTCATGATTTTTATCGCGGACTCTGCGCTGAGTTTTGCAATCTCCTCCGACGAGTGGAGAGGAGATTGAAACTTGAAAACACTGTCGTACCAGATTACGAAGCCGAGCTCAATCCGATCGTTGAGGTGGAGAAGAAAGTTGATGAAGCAATACTCGCAAGACTCGGTAAAGCACTTGAAGTTGACAACGTCAAAGGAGTAGTTCCGGAACGAGTGATGAACGAAGTCACCAGGCTCATCCGCTTGGTCACTGTCTTGGAGCAATGTTCCAAGGTCCCGCCTCAAGGCCACCATGTGCCTCCCATCGTCAGCATCGCCGTGAAACTCCTGGCCTGGCTTGAACACAACGCATCAAATCGGGCCTATCGCATCGCAATAGCGGAGGAGCCTTGGAGGCTCGACGGATGGGCACTCGACAGTATTTGCCAAGACCATCCATCTCCTGTTGATGGGTCGATCGTCGTCAGATATCAAGGTGTGAAAGCCATTCTCAAGTTTTACGAGATCAAGTCTCCTAAATCGGTATCTGAAGTCACTAAATTCCAGTTGAATGTCAGAAGCATGTCCACCTTCACTCACAAAAACCTCCTCCAATGCCTTGGTGGTTGTGACTCGACACAACCGTGTTGGTTCATGGTCCCAATGTTCAAGACAACGCTTCGCCAGTACATCGTCGATCAAGGAATTGCTCTTTCGCTTGATGCCAAGCTATTACTTGCTATCGGTATCGCTTCTGGAGTTGAAGCTATGCATCAGTTGGATGTTTCCCACCTCTCGCTCAACATCGATACAGTCGTGATGGACGACTATAATCAGCCTCTGGTGTCATTGATCCCCTTCAACCCCTCGACTCAAAATGCCAACCAGTACCAAGCACCGGAGAGGCTCAGAGGAAAAGTCGGTACTTCCAAGCCATCTAATATCTTTTCACTTTCGGTCATCCTCATCGAAATCTTCTTTGGTGGGGGAAATCCGATTTGGTTCGGAGCCGATCCAAAGGTCCCATTGGATGAAGATGAAATCAAAAGCCGAATTTTGAAAGGCGAATGTCCAACCATCGTATCGGAGGATGGCAAAAAAACGGATTTATTCGAAATCTTTCGAAAATGCCAATGCATGGAACCAAGGTCGCGGATCACCGCATCTGAAGTCGTTACTCGTTTAGATGCGGTCCTTGCAGCGCTCCCCATACCTCCAACACCTCGGATTATCACTGGCGAACGGCAACCATCGACTCAGCCACAGGCCACACAGCGCATGCGGCCCACCAGTACACCGGCATATCCAACACCCGACCCCAGTCTCATGACGATGCTCGAGAGTGCTGACATCGATCAGTATTTGGAAGCTGCCCAGGATATCCTGAAACTTCATGAATATTCAATTCATGAAGAGGTCTGGAAGGTGTCTGCTGATATTTACGAACATCACTCGAACGGGCAAAAGAAGCAGACAACGCGCGAGCTCGTTGAGCTCATGATCCATTACGGCTGGATCCTCTTTCTCGGCCTCGGGCGTCCCAAAGATCAAGAAGCTGCATTCGCCATCTGGGCAAAGGCATGGAATCGAACCAACCCCTCCAAAGGCCCCGGTCCTGGTCCCAGTCGAGACGAGTTGTCAGATTTATTCAAGGTCGCTACGTATTTGAGAATGATCTATTTCTCGACCAAAGGCAAGACACATGATGTGGATTGGCCAACGTATTTCAAGATCGAGTCCCAATTCCATGGCTTCAATGGAGAAGAACACCCGACATACAGTCGTCATCTCAAGTGGTGTGCACTTGGTACTCAGAACGAAGCCCTCTGTACATACATGCTTGCTCGATGTTACTTGGAAGGCATCGGTGTTGAAAGGAATCTTGCCAAGGCGCATGAGCTGTTCCAAGCTACCCTGACTTCCGCCGGATCTCTGTCGAGCTACTGCCTGGGAAATCTTGAATATGAAGGTCATTTTGGAAAACCTAATTTGAAGGCTGCTCTGACGTACTTCAAGATGTTTGACGACCCCACCAACCCAAACTGCGCTTTTATGACTGCAAAATGCTATCAAGAACTTGGGACGGGTCGTCCGGATCTCATCACAATGCTCTACAAGGAAGCGGCTCGTTTGGGACACCCGCAGGCGAAGGAAATGTACCCTGAAAGGCAAAAGCGTCGTGGAAACACCAAAACGCGCTTGATGCACAAGAAACGGCGTTCTGATCTCGAGGAAAGTCTCTAACCCTGAAAATACACTTGATATTCTACGGCCACCATCCAAACGTGTACGTATACGTGGTCTTGCTGGGGTTGTTATCAGGCGAGAGAGTGACCTTACGGGTGGTTCCGGGGAGTTGGCGGATGTTTGCGACACCGGTGTGGGCGACGCCATTAATCGTGGAGTAGACGACGACGGTGGCATTTTGGGGCCAATCGACACCGACGGTAGTGATGTAAAAGTTGTAGTTGGGGATCTGTGCGCCCGTAATCGTGGGACTCATGATAATATGGCGTCTACGCCATGGGTCCAGGTCGGCAATCGCAAACTTTATTGGCGGATCGATACCTCTGGCACCGGCGGTGAGTCCAACGAGGTTCTTTGCGATGGAGAATGTGCTCAGGCTGATTCCAGTGCAATCCACAATGAAGTACTGGTAGACGATGGCGTTACCCGACAAGCCAACAATGTTCTCAATGACGGCCGGAGTCTTGAAGAAGACATAATAGATGGCCACGGCGATCAGAAAGCCAATGGCGGCGTAAATCCAGTCAGAGTCGGCCATGTTCTCAGGTGCTTGTGTATTGGTTCTGATTCTGTGTCAGATTTTTTTCTGTGTTCCGTTGCTGTTGGCCATGTGCTGCGCGCCGTCTGCTGAACCACACGTGGACAGTGCTGCGCACGCACACACACGGCATTCCGCCAGACCTGCCGTCACGCTCAAAGCGAACCCCCTCCCCAAGTCGAAACACCCACCTGCTCCATCCCAAACCCATCGCCCCTCCTCTGTACGTCGTTGCCACCAGCATTGTCGGATCAAGCGCAAACGCAGGTACATAACGGGAGCAGCGTCAGGACCGGGTCCGTTATGCCAGTTGATTGACAGTCACCCCAGAGCGTCCATCCTGCCTGTGTCGCCACCAGCCTGTCGAGCCACCGGCGAGCTAACCAACGGCAACGGATCTACCGTTTGTGCAGTTTCAAGATGCCCGGTCAAGCCCTATCGTCTAGGAAGCGAAACACTGGCAAAAAAAAGACCCCCAAAGCAGCCAAATATCGAGCGCCCTTCGAGAGCCCGTATCCTGGTCTTAAACATTTTGACATGGATAACGAACTCGTCATCCCGAAGGATGTTGAGCCCTTGAGAGCGTCTGACCGGTACCGGACCATCGTCGGCTCCATAAAATCTCGTCCAGGTGATGTCGTTTTCAAGCAGTTTCTCCTCCCCGATAACAAAGAGAAACCTGATAAGGGCGACGAGGAGCACCTGGTTGAAATCGGCTGGTTGCTCGACGTATGGACCAAGTTGAAGCATCGGCGAATCACCCCCCTTCTTGGATTTTCAGTCGAAGTCTGTATCCCGACGGTCATCTCGCCCTTTTATCCCAACCGGGATATCGAAACCTTTATGTCGGCTCACCCGGTCAACCTCGAAACCAAACTTCGCTGGATGACCGAGATCGCAGAAGGACTGGTACACATACACGAGAAGCGATGTGTCTTTGTCGACGTCAAGCCAAACAGCTTCCTACTCGATGACCTTGAGTCGGTTCGACTCAATGATTTCTCAAATTCTCTGGCCTTGGAGGAGGGGTTCGACGGACGCGAACAAATCCCACTCCCCGAGGATGAAATCGAGTATGGCACGTTTACCTACTTCGCCCCGGAACGCACCACTCAACGTGCGACACCCAACTTCAACACCGATATATATGCATACGGGATTGCGTGTATCGAAATCCTCTCGGACTTTGGGAATATTTGGGGCATTGAAATCACGACGATCGACGACCTCCGCGATCAACACACCGCCGGCAATTCTCCAATCGTACCAGAGTCGACACCAGCGCCCGTCAAGGAGCTCCTTCTGGAGTGTGTCTCGACCGACCCGAAGGCCCGGCCGACAGCCGAACAAGTTTTTCGCCGCATGGAAGCATATATGAACCAAAATTACGCCAGTTCATCGCCTCAAGACGAAACACCGACCCCCCAGCCACCAGCTAAAAGGGCAAGGGTCGAAGGAGTCGACGATACGTCGGACGACCAAGACTCACGCGAAGAGTCCCCCGAGCTCGAAGCTGGTTCTTCTTCTCGTATTTCAAAGGCGTCAATGATCAGAAAGGCTTCCCAGGAGAGGCAACAAGAACCCAAACGGCGTCGTTCTACCGGATCGACAGCAACACCAAAGAGGGTAGTCTCCGCGTTAACGACTCCAAGGACAGCAGATGCGACATCGACGAGACCCAGGGGTCGTCCGAGGAAACAAGTTCCACCAGCGACTATGGAAGACCCAGTCCCCCCCAGTCGAGTATCATCTAAACTACCAGCGGTTTCGGATAGTGCAGTCGTTACGCCCAAGAGACCCAGGGGTCGTCCAAAGAAACAAGATCGGGAAGCACCAAAATCTCTGGGTCAAGCAGCATCGACAGCATCAACGGTCTCAGAAGCATCAGGTTTCCAGACGGCCCTGTCACCTCCGATACACTCACCAGCAGCGGCATCAACGACTCTGATGGAGGTGGACTCTGTTGCTCCAACACCCGCCCCGGGCAGAGTTGTTCTACCTCGGGATAAAACACCAACTCCATCAAGCTCACAGGCACCTCTGGTACCTCCCGTTGCCACTTTGAAACAGCAACTACCGCAATCATCGTCGAGCGTGAAAATCACCAGACTCACCACCCCAGAAGATGTAATGCGAGATGCTGAATCTTTGACGAAAGGTAAGTGTGAATAGATGATTTTTGTAGATCGCCAGGAAATATGAACTGATTGTGACCTGTTTACACAGGTCAATGGATATCTGTGTTCCAGCTCTACTACATGCGTAGAGCCGAAGACGACCGCATTGGGGACTATCGGTTCACATTCTGCCTTGGTTGGATGTACTGCCTTGGGCTTGGTCATCCGGGCTCGCTTCAGGAGGCGCTGAATCAGTGGTCACAAATAACTCGGTCTAAGGTCAGCGAAAGTCAACGTTCCGATGGAATCTACAAATCCGCAGCCTATTTGAAGTTTTGGTGTGTTGCTCTTGGAGTGACCACAACCAATGAAAATTGGAACTCGGCTTTCCAAATCGAACAAAAGTACCACCTTGAACAGCTACCATGCGAAAACACCAAGCCAGGTTGTTCATTGCTGTTGAAGTGGTGTCGCTTCGGTGCTGAGCGAAACGAGTTATGTCGTTTCTTGTTAAGTTACTGTTATTTGCATGGTATTGGGACTGCTGCCGACCCTGCTCTGGCCATCGTGACCATTGGAGATGTTGCCACGAAGGTTAAACCGGATGTGACTCATTGGTATTGCTTGTTGGGGGAGTGTTACTACTCTCAGAAGCAGTATGAGCTAGCATTTTCGGCTTTCTGTTCTTCAACCCAGCACTCTAAGGGCAAGGCCAAGCTCTACAGTCCCCGAACGAGCTATTTTCTTGGGCAATGTTACGAGCATGGTCATGGTGCTGCGGTTAATGCAGCGATGGCATTGAATCAGTACCAGAGTCCCAATGCCAAGCGATACCCCCTTAACACAATCAATGCAGAGCGCCTTCGTACTCTTGCTACCATGCAGTGAATTGAATATAGTGCCCTTTTTTTCGTAACAGTTGATCACCAGCGAGGGAATGGTGGGTTCTTAGAGACTGTGGTCCCATTGTGGGACACATGACACACAGCTGACTCTTGGCGTCCTCCACAAAACCGCAGGCAAGCCGTCCTCGCCGTGAACCCGTATGCATGTTCGATCGTCACCCCAAACACAGCACACTCGTGAATCCTTCGCATATCCGTCATCCATCACACATGAGCACCATCCAAACCGATACCATCTTGCTGTTCAGTCATGTCAGCAAGATATACTCGAACACCGCCTTGGATTTGAAGGCGAGTCTTTGCGGGCTTCAAGATCAATGCCACTCTGTCGATGACGGAATCTGGTTCGGCTCATGGGCTACATTCATCGACACTGTGCACACCTATGTATCAAGACTCATCCATCATGGCGAATATTTGAAGGAGCGATATGACTTCGCTGAAATAGGTGCCCGGCAGCTCTACCGGGTTCGCTATATGATCGAGAAATTCAAGGACGACTTCGAGACCGGCTATATCGCACAACCCGAAGCCGTCCAATATCTTCTCTGCAGATGGCGGCTCCACAAGATCCGAGAGTATCGCACAAAGCTCTCGGTCATCGTCGCATCCGCCCTCCAGAATCTGAAGGCCAAGGCCTCCATCGAAAATGATCGGTACATCGTGGCGATCAACAACATTCTTCGGAGACAATTGGGGGATGACGAACGCTCCATCCATCGGAGTATTTATGAGGTCAAAGGTCAACTGTATAGCATCTTCAGACCGCCGTCGAGGGACGAAGAAATTCCGAAGATCATTAGGAAGCTCAAGCAGGTCCTCGAACTCGAAATCGCGAATGGAGCTAGTGGGTCATGTATTCACGAAGGTGCCCGGTACCTGATCGACCGTTACAAGCGAAGCCTCGGCACCCAGTCGGCATACATCCCACCCACGTGGAGTATCCCAGAAGAAAATCTCGTCAGCAAGCGAGGTGTCGCCAAACACGTCCTTGATGATGAGACCTGGACTATTATGAAGGCACGATATTTTGGGACCGGAGTGATCCTCCTCCAAAAGGATGACCTCAGCCCCGTCGAGTTGAATCGGTTTCGAGTCTCCGTTTCCAAGTGGATCAACCTTCGTCATCCGGCGATCGAGAGTCTTATTGGGGTTTGCGACGATGGTCCAAATGTCGCTCTGGTGAAGAGTCTATATCGACAGCCGTTGGCAAGGACACTGAAGCAGTACCGGACCAATTTAAGACAGGATCGATGTCTTCCTCTGCGAATGCGCTGGATTCATGAGGTTGCAACAGGCATGGCCTATATCCACAAGCATGGCCTCGTTCATGGGGATCTCCGGCTTGAAAACATCGTCAACGACCGGTACTGTGTCCAAATCACAGTCAACTCATGTATCCACCGAGACATCCAAGGTCGCCCTGTACAACGAGACGGAGTGTCGTATGCCCCAGAGCTGCGTCGAAGGTTCCCAGCCGAACCCACGATGGCCACAGACGTTTATGCCTTTGGCATCCTTATGTGCTATCTCATTTACTGTCGACCGCCGGAAGTGTTGCAGCATATCGAGAAGATGACACAGCCCGTCGATGGTATTCCTGCAGAGTACACTAAGCTGATTGCTCAATGCTTCGACTCTGATCCAAGGAAGAGACCAAGCTTCGACGACATCCTATACATCCTCGAAGACTTTGAAACTATGGGTGGACTTGACAGACATTCTGTTGAAACCCGGAATCGGATCACACAGAGCCTTGTATCGACCGAATACGAGTTTGAAGTCGTCGACAGCGGTAGTATCCAACAGTTCGAAGTTGACAAGGTGTCGACGAGAACCGAAACCGATATATTCGCCGATCCAAACGCTGAATTCGATCCATTTGCCATGGACGACGCCCTTCTGGCCACAATCCTTCAGGATCCCATCGACGGCGACGATCCTTTTGAATTCATCGAGCAAATCCATAATTCGCTCGATGAAGCTGTCAGCAACAAGCATAAACCACCATCACCTGAGGTTCAGACGGAGCAACCACCGGGCATCACACTCGACCCACGGAAAACGACACAGCAGCACATCGAAGCGGCTGCTACCGCCATCGACAACGGTGGTATCGGTTTATATGTCCAGTATGTCCGGGAGATCTTACGCAGCAACACAAACCCGGCCATATACCATGAACCCGGCTGGACCGACATCTATAGGGCGATGCAAAACAAGATCAGCACGAAGCAAACATCATTTTGCGAACGCCTCGAATACCGGTTCAACATGGGATGGCATCATATCATTGGACTCGGGTGCAATGTTAATGCCACCAGTGCATATGGGCAGTGGAATCATATCACCAAGCACTGCAAGGCACACATCAAACAGGGTCGATCGGTGGAGATCGTCCAACCATACCTTGATACCGTTCAGCCGTTACGCTTCTGGCGGCTCGCCGCTGGACATTTGAGTTTCCCTGACTGGAAGAATGCATTTGAAGAAGTCGCAAATGTGCGGATGGAATGTGGAGCTGACCAGGACACTTCGCGAATGGCAAAGCAATGTTTCCTCTGGTGTGAACTGGCGTCGCGAAACGACAAGTTTTTCGAGTTTATTCTCGCCACATTCTACATTACCGGATATGGGATAACTCCGTCGATCGACAAAGCCATCGGGGTTCTCAGTCCGTTGAAGGATGGGATGTATGCCGTCGTGGTAGCCGAGCGCCTTGCCTACTGCATTGCTCGGAGCAACAGGACATATCCCGGTCTTGAAACTAGCGGCCTTTTGGAAAAAGCAGTCGACAAGGGAAACCCGCTGGCAATGAAGGCTTTGGCAACAATTTTAATCGATCTTTATGAACTTATGCCTGAAACTCGGCGCGATAGAGAACTGGTCGCCAAGGCAAGGGATCTTTTGATATCCGCCCACAACAACAACTGTCCAGGAGCCCGTGAAAAGTTACAGGAGCTGGTGCAGTTGTATGGAGGATGAAACAACAGTAGCCAATACAGAATCGAACTGGACACTCCCCTCTCGCACACCTGGACGAGGCAATACTCCGAAAATGGGAGTGGAAAAAATATATTTTCATAGGAGGGGTCTGGCGTTGAGTGGTGGAAGTGATCGAGACCCATATGCCATATGCTCGCACAGGCAACATAGACCATCCAGCAGCCATATGCTCGCACAGGCAGCATAGACCATCCAGCAGCCATATGCTCGCACAGGCCACACGGAGCATCCAGCAGCCATATGCTCGCACAGGCAGCATAGACCATCCAGCAGCCATATGCACACACAGGCAGCATAGATCATCCAGCAGCCATATGCTCGCACAGGCAGCATAGATCATCCAGCAGCCATATGCACACACAGGCAGCATAGACCATCCAGCAGCCATATGCACACACAGGCAGCATAGACCATCCAGCAGCCATATGCTCGCACAGGCAGCATAGATCATCCAGCAGCCATATGCTCGCACAGGCAGCATAGACCATCCAGCAGCCATATGCTCGCACAGGCAGCATAGACCATCCAGCAGCCATATGCTCGCACAGGCAGCATAGACCATCCAGCAGCCATATGCTCGCACAGGCCACACGGAGCATCCAGCAGCCATATGCTCGCACAGGCAGCATAGACCATCCAGCAGCCATATGCACACACAGGCAGCATAGACCATCCAGCAGCCATATGCTCGCACAGGCAGCATAGACCATCCAGCAGCCATATGCTCGCACAGGCAGCATAGACCATCCAGCAGCCATATGCTCGCACAGGCAGCATAGATCATCCAGCAGCCATATGCTCGCACAGGCAGCATAGACCATCCAGCAGCCATATGCTCGCACAGGCAGCATAGATCATCCAGCAGCCATATGCTCGCACAGGCAGCATAGACCATCCAGCAGCCATATGCTCGCACAGGCAGCATAAACCATCCAGCAGCCATATGCACACACAGGCAGCATAGATCATCCAGCAGCCATATGCTCGCACAGGCAGCATAGACCATCCAGCAGCCATATGCTCGCACAGGCAGCATAGACCATCCAGCAGCCATATGCTCGCACAGGCAGCATAAACCATCCAGCAGCCATATGCACACACAGGCAGCATAGACCATCCAGCAGCCATATGCTCGCACAGGCAGCATAGACCATCCAGCAGCCATATGCTCGCACAGGCAGCATAGACCATCCAGCAGCCATATGCTCGCACAGGCAGCATAGACCATCCAGCAGCCATATGCTCGCACAGGCAGCATAGATCATCCAGCAGCCATATGCTCGCACAGGCAGCATAGACCATCCAGCAGCCATATGCTCGCACAGGCAGCATAGACCATCCAGCAGCCATATGCACACACAGGCAGCATAGACCATCCAGCAGCCATATGCACACACAGGCAGCATAGATCATCCAGCAGCCATATGCTCGCACAGGCCACACGGAGCATCCAGCGGCCATATACTTGCGCAGGCGAGGGGAGATTACATGCCATAGATATTAGATGAGTGTACCGAAGCATTCGTGTCCCAAGAGCGAATAGTTGACGAACGAGCCTGCGTCAGAGAGCCAAAAGTCAGTTTGGAAGGATTAATAAACTTTCGATTATCATCACATGGATATGACGGTAGTCAATGCAAGAGGAAAATGACATAGCAGCTCTTTCATTCCTTCGTTGATCCACCGGTCCACACCGCAGCAAGACACACCAGTGTATGTCCACAAGCGTCCCTCGTGATGAGGTTGGCCGATGCTCAAACAATACACCAGAGTATCCCACTGCAAAGAGTCAGACGTCTCAACAAGAGGTCCGAACAGAGCAAGCGAAGTATAAAGCAGCGGGGGTGTGAGGGTGTGGGTGGTGTTGCAGGCAGCGACGATATACTTTCCTGGAGCTGATGGTGGTGGCGGACGGGGGGGGCGGGCGCCAAGGAAAAGGAGCGGTGAGGCGGGTTCCGGACGCCGGAACGCGAAAAAAAAACCGGATGCAACCACACTGGAGTGTGGGACGCGTCAGACGCCAACCACCCAACCACCAGGCGCCTGTCCAGCAACCCATCGATCCGTCGCCCCCTATTGCCAGGCGAAACTGTAGAGGTATGTCGTATCCGCTGTTCTGCCCGTTGGTGGTGGGATGACCAGGCGAGCGACACCCGGGAACTGCCGAATATCGATACTGGACGATGACACCACCCCATTGGTATTGGCAGTGAGCTGCAGGGTCGCCTTCTGGGGCCAGTCGACACCTGTGGTCGTCAAGAAGAATGCGTATCTGGGGAGTGTGGTCGAGTCCAGGCCGGTGCCTGGGAAGGTGAATCGACGAACCCACATGCTTTGATCAGCGCTGGTGAGCTTCACGAGGGCGTTGGTTCCCTTGTCGACAACGTACAGCGTCGAACGATTGGCCAAGTTTGAGAATGCATTGATGTCAGCCAGCGTCGTGTCCAGGGCGAAAGACAAAAGGGATGCGCGTGGTATGGTTGATGAAGTCTGAGCCGCTGGCACTGGAGTGAGATACTCCATCGAGGGCATGCGCGAAGCAAAAAACAGCAGAGTCAGGATCAGCACGACGACGATTGCGACGTACGACAGGTCGTTAGAGGGCATTGAATGTGATTTTGTCTGATGAATGGCTGGATTTTTTTGCGACCAGACTCGATCGGCCTGTCAAAGAAAAAAATGAAGCCACAAAGCAGAACGATTCGTCGATGAACACTACGGTAATTATCATCATTGCCATTATCGTCTGTATATGCTCTGTGATGGCGAGCGGTGGGGTTGGTTTATACTATTACTTTTACATGCAGTCATCATCGAGCGGTAACTCGAGTAGTAGCAGCTCGAGTTCACCTAACACCAGCAACACCACCAATACCAGTGGCAGCAGTAGCAGTTCACCGAGCGCAACGGGTACCGGCGGCACAAGTAGTGGAACGAGTGGCCCCGGGTCTGGTAGTAGCAGCACTCCCAGCACCAGCGGGACCAGCGGGACACCCAGCGGAACAGGCAGTGGCAACACAACGCCCACACCAAGCACGACTACAACGGCATCAGGTAGTACCCCGCAGCCGACGTTTGGAGCGTCATCTTACACCATTTTCCGAACGAACGACAATGCCGCACGCGGCCTTGCGACTTGGGGTGGACAGACGGCGGATGGTACGGCTGTCGTCTACTGGGACTATTCGAACGGATCCGGGCAAAACTTTGGATACGACAGCACTAACCAGCGTCTCATTGACCAAACCAGCATGAAGTGTCTCGCACCCACCGGTGGAACGAGTGCTGCTGCTGGCAGCTCCATTGTCATCAAGACGTGTGATATCACGGACCAGTCGCAAACCTGGACGAACAACACGAGCAGTGGATCGACATGGACATGGGGACCCGACAGTACCAAGTGTCTTGATTTGCAAGGTAACGGTCGAAGCAACGGGACGGTTCTGGATTTGTGGACGTGCAGTGGTGGGGCGAACCAGAATTTCTACTTTGGACCGATGCTTGTTCCGGCAGCCGCTAGTGCTCAGTGCAGTGCAGCCGCCACACCAGTGACCGCCGTCGCATCGACCAATTCGTCTATTGCTCCGGGTACAAACATTGCCTCATGTACGGTACTGACATCACCCGATTCCATGCATTCATTCATTATGCAGCAAGACGGTAATCTGGTGCTGTACAACAACAAAACCGGTGCCTCTACATGGTCGTCAGGTACGAGCGGGCAAGGTAAGGGTCCATACACAGCGTCATTCCAGACTGACGGAAACCTGGTTGTGTATGACTCCACCAAGACTGCTCTGTGGTCGTCGCAGACAAATGGACGAACGGTAACGGCACTCACGATGCAAAACGACGGAAACTTGGTCATCTACAACGGGACATCCGCTGTCTGGGCGACCGACACGATGGGTCAGTAGGCAATTGAAGCCAGTCCCTGTGGAATCGAATGATTGCAAACTCGAAAGCACCGATACTCGAAAAAAAATGAAACCACAAGGCAGAACGACAAATCTCTTGGTGAGCACACCACAATGAGCATCTTGATCGTCATTATTGTCATCGTGGTCGCATGCATATGCTCCGCAATCGCTCTTGGTGGTGCGGGTATGGGCTACTACCGCAACGCACTCGCATCGTATTATCCAATCCGCACCGCTCCTGCTACAAGCGGAGTCGGGTCCGTTTCACAGCCGACTTTTGGTGCGCCAATGTATGGTATGTTCCATACGAGCGACAACGCCTCGCGAGGTTTGGAGGTATCCGGTGGGCAGACGGCGGATGGTACGGCTGTGGTTTACTGGGATTACTCGAATGGAGCAGGACAAAACTTTGGATACGACAGCACTAACCAGCGTCTCATTGACCAAACCAGCATGAAGTGTCTCGCTCCAACCGGTGGAACGAGTGCTGCAGCAGGCAGCGCCATTGTCATCAAGACATGTGATATCACGGACCAGTCGCAAACATGGACGAACAACACGAGCAGTGGATCGACATGGACATGGGGACCCGACAGCACCAAGTGTCTTGATTTGCAAGGCAATACCAGGACAAATGGTACAGTGCTTGATCTGGCTGCATGCACTCCAGGGGCTGCAAATCAAAACCTGTACATCAGCAAGCTGGCAGCTCCCGCATCGGTGTATTCGCAGTGCAGTGCTGCGGGGATGCCGTTCAGTGCCGCTGCATCGACCAATTCGTCATTGTCACCAGGTACGAGTATGTCGTCGTGTGCTGTGTTATCCTCACCGGATTCTTCTTACGCCTTGGTCATGCAGCAGGACGGAAACCTTGTGGTCTATAACAACAAAACCGGTGCCTCCACATGGTCGACCGGAACGAGTGGTCAGGGAACAGGACCGTATACAGCGACGCTTCAAAACGATGGCAATCTGGTCGTATTCGACAGCGCCAAGAAGCCTCTGTGGGTCTCACATACCGATGGACGACCAGTTACAGCGCTCACGATGCAAAACGACGGAAACCTGGTCATCTACAACGGGACAAACTTGGTCTGGGCGACAAACACGACAGGCAAGTAGGCAGGTGGGAATGGATCGACGCATGGAGAGCGACCCGGAAAACTGGCCCTGAATGAAAAAAATTCCTTGTGTAATGAGTAGCCAACTTATTTTCTTCTATGGCAGCTGATCCAACCTACTTGAACGTCGTCTACAACGGTAATGTAGACATTTTGCCGGGATCGTCCACAGTGGACTATGGTCTCGGTGACCTCACTATTGCTAACGTTGTCCGCATTGGCTCGACCACTGCGGCCACCTCCACTGCCAACTCTGGTGCTCTTAGTGTCGCTGGTGGTATCTATGCCGGCAATGACTCGTACTTCAACGGCCGGCTCACCATCAACACCACCGACTCGGTCAGTGCCCTCACGATCAACGGTGGGTCGGTTTTTAACGGCGTGATCTCCATCACTGACACCACCAATGCCACTTCGTACACCACTGGGAGTTTTAAGACAGCCGGAGGTCTCTCGGTCCAGCAAGATGCCTGGCTCCACCGCCTGTTCACCACCCAAATCACTTCGACCGGAACAGTGACCATTACCGACACCACTCCCGGTACGTCGACTGCGGGTGCACTCGTTGTCTCTGGCGGCATTTCGGCTGGTGGATCGACGTATTTGGGCAGCACTCTCGAAGTCGCTAGCACTGTCACGCTCGACAGCACTACCGACTCGACCAACACCACGAGTGGAGCGCTGATCGTTGCGGGTGGCATTGGGTGTGCCCAGACCGTCACCACTCAGAAGCTCGGCGTGACCGGACTCTCGACCCTGAACAACCTCAATGCATGGGGAAATGTCCAGTTCACTGGCTCTACCTTCACTGCTTCCAATGCCGTCAGCTTCACCAACACCACGGCGTCCACCAGCCCCTCGACCGGTGCGCTCGTCGTTTCTGGAGGCATCGGTGTCGGTGATAACTCGAGCTTTGCCGGTATCATCAGCCTCACCAATACTACTGACTCGACCAATCTGACCAGCGGTGCTCTTCAGGTTGCAGGAGGAGCTGAGATCACCAAGAACCTCAATGTCGGCGGAAACGTGAACGTTAGCGGCAACACCACGGTCCAGGGCAACCTCACTGTGCTTGGTGCCTCGACCACTATTACGAGTCAGACGCTCACAGTGAACGACAATTGGATTCTCTTGAACGCCGCTCCTGCTTCGCTCTCGGATGTGGGTATCGTCATGCAGCGATACCAAACGGACAGCGAGACTGGCGCTGGTGATGTCACTAACGCCACTCCCGACATTAGCGCAACCGCCCAGGGCTCGACCAGCAGCACCACTATCACGCTCGCTGCGTCTGACACTGCTGCCACCGACTACTACAAAAACTGGTGGATTCGGATCACGAGTGGCACCGGTACCGGTGGTATCCGCCAGATCACTGGCTTTGATGCCACCACCAAGATCGCCACGGTCGAAACGGCATGGGTCACTCAACCCGACAACACTTCAGTCTACGGCCTCTACTACAAGACCTATGCCGTGTCCGCTTGGATCGAGACCACTGACGAGTTCCAGGTGGGTTTCACTCCTAACGACCCCACCTACCACTCCAAAGCCGGGTTGATCTCTCGCGGCACCTTCCATGCCAAGAAGCTGATTGCGGATGACTCTGTGCAGACCGATGCGGTCAACGAGCTTACCCCCGGAGCCGGAGTTACCATTAATGGAGCGGTTAACATCTCCACATCAGGTGCCGTGACTGGAATCAACTCGATCAACGGCAACACCGTGCCCGTCACTTCTGACATTGCCATGAAGGACGACGGTACGACCCCCTCGAGCTCAACGGTCATTTCCGGTACCACCACTCACGGCAGCTACATGATCCTTGTCCGTGACAATGTGTCCAGCGGAGCGGCTGCCACCTTCATCATGAGTGCTCGCTCTGGTATCTCTGGCACCGTGCAACGACTCAGCAGTGCAAAGGGATCGAATGGTGAGTCGCTAGAGATTACATGGCCTGCGAACGGCCAGCCCACTCTGGGATTCCAGACACTGGTCAACTCGCCTTCCGGTGCCACGATTACTTATCATGTACAGGTCCTGTCGGTGTAAGGACTCAAACCTTTATTCAGTGAATGGGTCAATCTCATCGATAGGGTCGAAGGAATCGCAAACACGAAGCTGAGCAGACAAGGCCTTGAATTTTTCAGCACCACCGGTGTCACCTAGACGGGCGGCCGTGCGGTAACGGTCTCGAGCACTCAACAAGCATACTGGGAATCCACCCAACCCAAGTTCATGATAACGTGCAATAGCTCTGAACGCTGGTGCAAATCTCATGCAAGCAGCTTTGGTAAAGTGGCTGTACGCGATATCAAAGTTTTGATCCACAACAATACCACCGTAAAAGAACATACCGACCCAAAAGTGACCGAGAGCGGAGCCCCGGGCAGCGCTGTCGTTGAAGAGGGTAAGTGCTCTCTCACAGTCCTTTGTGCAGCCAGCAGTACCATAATAATGATGCATTCCAATGGCGGCAGTGGCATTTGAATGACCTCTGGCGTGTGCCTGCTTGAGGTACTCCAAGCCCGTAGATGGGTCTTTTGGAATGTCATTAGCGCCAAAAGAATAACGAAAGCCAAGAATAAACTGAGCCTTCTCGCAGTTGTTATCGACGGCCTTTTGATAGAGTACAATGGCGGTTTTCGTATCGGGCTCCGTCATGCCTCGGCCGTAGAAATGGAGTTCGGCGAGTTCAAACTGGGCTTCGGCGTGGTTCTTGGTGCTCGCCATAGTGAGCCATTTGGCTGCGATATTGTAGTCGGTATACCATCCATACGACCCAGGACGGGTATGGATGACGCCGAGCTGATACTGGGACTCGGTGTTTCCAGCGTTGGCTGCGCGCTCAAAAGCAACGATGGCCATGGGGACATCGCGACGGACCCCGAAGCCATGCAGATAACACTCGCCGAGATTGTGGGTCTGTTTGATGACATTGTCTTCGTCCGAATCGCTTGCGGCCAAGAGAAGCTTGAATGCCTTGGTAAAGTCCACGGAGACTCGGTCTCCCTGGAAGTATATGTTGCCAAGGCGGGCTTGAGCTTCGTGATAGCCACCGTTGGCTGCGACAGTGAAGAGGTGTATAGCTTCTTGGTAATTATCCTTGCCTGGCTCGGTAATGGCCTTGGTTTCCCAGAGAGTGCCAAGAACGTAGGAAGCACCAGGGTGACCTTGTGCTGCCGACGCAACGAGGGTATCGATCGCACCCTGGACATTCTTCTTGATGCCACCAGCTCCCTTGAGCATCATCCGAGCGAGCCCGAACCGGCCGTTTGGGTTGTCGTTGTTGGCAGACTTTTTGTACCAATAAACCGGCCTTTCGAAGGTCCTTGGTCGAGCCTATGCCGTTTTCGTGCAAGTAGCCGACAATGTACTCGGCATCCGAGTCTTGTCCAGAGAGGGCTGCAATGTGGAAGAGGGGTGTCGCCTTGGTCGTAATCCTTTCGACTCCGTAGGCGGCCAGTAATAGGTAGATTTCACCCATCAAGTAGCACGCCTTGGGATCTCTTCGCATCGGCAGCGGTCTGCAAGAGCTTGACAGCCCTTGGTGGCGTCGGCAGGGGTGATAGTGCCGGTGAGGTAGATCTCACCCAGGGTCCGACAGGCATCGATGTTTCCACCGTTGCTGGCCAGGTCGTACCACAGGAGAGCACTCTTGACGTCGGTATCGATTCCAAGACCGTTCCTGTAGAGTTCACCCAGCTGGAAGGCTGCTTCGGGATCTCCAGCGAGGCCGGCACAGAGGTAGAAAGGCAAAGGCGACTTGGTAGCTCTGGACAACACCGAGGCCGTAAAAATGGCAGTCGCCGAGGATCTTCTGTGAGCAGCGGTGGTTGGACCCGACGGCAATGTTGAAATGCTTGACTGCGAGTGTGTAGCTTTGGGGAGTTCCCTTGCCATGGAAATGAGTCCAGCCCAGGAAGTGATGGCCCTGGATGTTACCCTTGGCTGCGAGTTTGGTGCTGAGCTCGAATACATTGATGTATTTCTCGGCCGCGATGTAATGCTCGATCATGGCGATCATGGAGGGGATGTGACCCTTGTCCTCGAGTGCCTTGATCGTTCTGAAACCTTGAGCCGAGCGTTTGGTGGCGGCTCCCCATCCCTTGATCGAAAACATGGCCTTGATCAACCCGAGAGTGTTCTCCTTGTCGTCTAGGGGCTCGGTACGAAGGTGCTTGAAGTATTGGTCAAAGAAGGCAGGCTCAAGACGGACTCGAGCGACGGCAACCTGATCGTCGATAGTGTCGATGCCGATGCGGGTAGCTGCTGCGAGGGTGCGCTCGGTGACCTGTGCAACGATTTCCACTGGGGAGACGCAAGTGGTCATGACCTTGAAGAACTGGTGCCATTGGGCCTTGAGATCACTCTTGGGTGTAGGTCCGCTGAGATCGGCAGCGTTGATGTAGACCTGGTAGATGTTACGAATCTTGGATTGTGCAGTGTCCTGGCAGGTGACGGTGGTGAGGTGAACGAAGGAATCCATTTTGGAGGTCTCAGATGAGCAGAGGTGTCCAAGACATCCAGACCGGATCGAAGCGGGCCTGGATATATATGCGTTTCTTGGGCGAAGCTGCCTCGAACGCCGCGGCGACCCCCTTGCACGCACCCAGATCGGGAAGGCGCAAGAACCGGCGGGATCCACGTTGCTCATGCACAACCCGATAGGCCTCGGGGTTATCTCCGCCGCATTCACTGAACTCGATTTCAATGGTGTGGGAGACACGTGGGTCGGGCAGTTGCGGCATGTCCAGACCAGCCGGTCGTTGAAAGCGCGGAGTGATGCAAAAGCCGCTGACGTTGGTTGGTGCATTGCAGAGGACGAATCGGATGTTGGTCGCACAGTGGAAGAGGGGGGATACGATACACTGATACTCGCGCACATCCATGGCGGCGATCGTTGCTGCGATCTGCTGGCGGCGCTCGAGGAGATCAAAGCTTGGATGAGTGATGCAGTCTCTGAATACGAGCAGTTTGGGGCGATTGATGGTCTCCCATATCTCGACGACGAATACACCCCGGTCTCGGTTTCGGTTTCGGGTCGTAGGAGTGTGTGATTTCTCGATATCGATATCGAGAAAGGTGACGGTCTCGCCGTCGTAGAGACGAGGTGTGTCGTCAAGATAGAGGAGGAATGGCTTGAAATGGGTGAGCTCAAAGAAGCAGCAGTCTACTGGTGCGGTCATTGCGGTGGATGGTTGTGTGAGGGCCTGGTTTTCCATTGGGTGATCAGAACGCAGCATACGGCACATCGTTCTCGTCGTAGCCGGGGATTGAATCACCGTTCTGACTGAAGGATGTGTATCTGGGAGGCACTGTGACGGAAACCGCCGTCGGGGCAACGACCGAGCTGGATTTGGGTGCGACGCTGCTACTGCCGAAGAGGCCGCTCGAGCTCAAGCCAGTGCCGATGCTGGAGCTCGTAGACCCGGAAGCATTCAGCTTGTTCTCAATGTACCAAGTGCTGGTGAAGAAGACAAAGGTGAGCAGCAGCGAGAGGGCAAAGTCCTTGTTGGCCACGATGATGATCAGGAAGAAGACAAGGACGCGGAAGATGGGGTTCTCGAAGACGACAGTGGCGCTGGCGGTGAGTTTGGGAGCGGCAAAGCCGCCGTACAGGAACAGGAAGAGACGCAAGAAACCGCTAACCCATTTGTTATCGAGCACGGCGAGACTCTGGTTGATGAGACGGTCAGCGGACTGAAGGATGGTGGCCATTTGGTGGATGGGTAACTGTATTGCTGACTAGAGGATGAGAAAAAAAGACAGAGAGATGAAAACATAGAGCATGAAGAGCAGGACCGGGCGACTGGTCCAGAGCAGATTCCAACGGGTATTTTCGGGCAGTTGGTCTACAGTTTCGAGCAAGTCGTGAGCGAAACTGCGAAAATGCTGCAGTGCGTGTTTGGCGGCGGTGTGAACCAAGTCAGCCGCCGCGGGGGTAGAAGTGTGTTGGGAATCGGTTTCGCTCAGATCTTGACCCATTTGTTAAGCTGAGCAGAGAAAATCAGATGCAGAGTGACCGCACCGTTGGTGGTGTCGATGGCGGTAGGGGCCGAGCCGGCAGCAAGCGAGCCACCGGTGATGCTCAGGGCAGTGATCGACTGGGTGATAGTGACGTTCTGAATCTGGCCATCGACAGGGTACTGGGGAAGGGCGATGGTGAGAGCGGCCAAGGTGCCAGAGGGAGTGACCAGTGCGCGAGCATTGGTAAGCTGGACGGTCGAGCCAGAGACGGGAGTAAAGACCTTGGGTGCAATCAAATCACGGACAGGGACGTCCACGGTCTGGTAGACGATCGAGTAGGGATCATGGGCATACAGCTTGCTGAATCGGCTCTGAGACATGGTTGGTTAGCTACCGAATAGGCGAGAAAAAAAAGTTGCTAAACCACCTCAAGGCGCTTCCTGAGCATATCGGGTTCGGTAGTACTTTGGAGCCACGGGCTGACGACATTCTGGGGCGGGGGAAGCGAGCCGCGAATGTCATTGTTGTTCCACTTCTTGGGCTGGCTGAGAGTGATGCCGGACGAGAACTGGTTGAACAAAAAGTTCTGCTGGAAGGCTGGGTCGTCGGGGTGGTCGAGTAGAGCGGTAGAGACGCCGGTTTGGAGGCCCTGAGATTGGACTTGGTCGATGGAAGGAATGGTGGCCGCATCCGGACCAGAGGCATCCGGGGCAGGCGCCGCTGGAGCCCACGCTGCCAGCGGCGAGAACGTTTCGGTTGTGGTGGCCGCCTGCTGGGCATAAGACTGGTAGAACAGGACACCCGCGATGGTAGCGATAATGAAAATGTACATCAAGGCAGAACTCATGATAGCGCGATGACGTTCGGAGGGATGGCTATTACTTTACACAGACATTTTTTTTCCTTCAAGCGGAAGAGCAGAATTGGCGGAGGTTCTGGGTTCCGCATCCGGGGCAGACGGGGACGACAATCTGGCTCTGGTATCGATCAGCACCATCGCCGGAAGGCACGCGGATGGATTCAATGTGGAACTGGTTGGACGACAGCTTGTGGGTCTTGCCGCAGATGGGGCAGGCAAAATCGACTCGACCGTTGGCATCGACCGGGCAACCACCGTTACCACCGCGCTTACCCTTGCGCTTGCTGCTTCGTCGCTTCTTGGAAGACTTTTTACCACCAGGCTGGCGCTTGGAGTGCTTGGGGTACTTCTTACCACTACCTCTGCCGCGTTGTCTGCTGATTCTGCTTTTGCGGCCACTGCCTCTGCCGTGTTGTTTGTGGACGCTAACCCTGCTCTTCTTCTTGCCGCCAGACCTTGCGACGGAGTTGCGGTAGTGATGGTGGTTGTTCAGGTCCTTGGTGCTGCTGTAGCGAACGAGGGAATGACCATGGCCTCGGCCAGACTTAGACTTTGATCGTCTGCGCTTACCGAGAGAACCCTTGCGACCACTGAAGCTCTTCTTACCACCCTTCGATCGCTTGGAATGACGCTTTCCACTGCGCGATCGACGCTTGGTTCGGCGGGCACCACCAGCAACGGCGGGGGCGGTCGAGGCGATGGATCCCGGAGTGGGTGTGAGTTCGGTAGAGGTGGTGGTATCAACACTGGACATTAATTGATGTGCGGGATGTGCTACATAACAATACACAAAAAAAATTCAGCTTGCCATTTTGAGGGGTCACTGAAGGACAGACAATGGCATACAGCTACTTTAGCGGCAATGCCGGCTTTGACGGAGCATTCTTCAACAACGGCAGTATCACGAATTGCACAATCGACATGTCCGGGGGAGTGGTCCGGGATATGAGCCTGCCCACGAACCCAACGGATGCGGCCAACAAGGCTTATGTCGACCAGCAGCTCAGTATCATCACGCAAATATACAGTGTGTCCCCACCCTGTATCGTGAATCTGCCGTATGGGTCGTATATACTCAAGTTTCAGTCACCGACCGATGCAACCAAGCCCACGGCCACCTTCCTGGCATCAGTGGGTCCGCAGGATGCTAGTGTCCACCGACTGAGTCAGGCTCCGGGTACAATCGGTCAAAGGCTCGGAATGCATGCGATCAATCGGACACTGTATTTCGAAGTCATCGGGGATAGCTCTATTCACACATATCAGCTACGAGTCATGTGAATGATGCTGGGCACGTCGAGTTGGCGTCGATGGCAGAGCGAGGACCAAGAATGAAGTATGCGGTTGCAAACAGCGTGCTCACGGCTATGCTTCTGGAGCCGACGTATGCCAGCGCAAAGACGACAATCGCCTTTACGACTTTGGTTCTGAACAAGTTGTGGCACCACATGACTTCAAAGTCGTCGACAATGAATCGACCACCGATGCGGCCGAGGAGGACGCATATGGCAACAAGAGCTGGTTCGAAAGCAGATGCCGGATCCTTCATTGATTCTGGGAATGCTTTGTCCTTTTCCCTGTGTTTTTTTTCTTGCTTGGAGTCCCACTCTCGTCAAAGAGATGGTTGTATCGAGGATTGGACCGCATGAGACCCACGGTGAAGTTCATCGTCGAGACCGGGTCCGTGGGGTTGATGTCGAGTTCGAGGTCGTTGTCGAGTTGGCGCGGTGGTGGTGATGCTGGTGGTAGAGGCTGGGTTGGCACAGTCAGTGATTGTGTGGATGGTTTTGGGTCTGGTGAGTGGTCGGCGCTCCATGAAATGAAGAGGATGTTTGGAGGCATGAAGAGATCACACGATACGCCTTCGGAGCAGAGGGATTGTTGGATATAGGCCACACACTCATTGATGTCGTATGCGGGGCATCCTGCCACCATCAATGGTACCTCAAAGTACATATAGAGGCCATTGCTGGCTCGCATGGTCATTTCGTGGCAGCACAGCTCAAGGATCTCGTGGTATCGCCGTCGCCTGAGTTCGATGCCGGTGTCGTGAAAGCCTCTGAGACGCTGGGCGAAGTTCATGTTCTGGAGCGACCGCTGGTAGCAGGTGTCGAGAATTAATTCCTTTCGAGATCGTCGTACACGAACCGGTTGAGGGTCCTGTCCATGGCGATGATCTTGTAGTTCCTAATGTTCCCGAGCTTGCCGAGGCGATGCATGATGTAAGGGAAGACGTCTCTGAGGGTGTAGTTCTGGCCGTGGGCATCGCCATTCGGACCAAGTAGCTCGTTCATCAGGGATAGGATCGATACGGTACCGCTGGCACCCGATCGTTTGTTGACCAGCATCGCAACCCGGAACGGGGGTGACGGGTGATGGGCAACCAGTTCATTACGATTCCGGATGTCCTTGCCGAGTATGTGAGTGTACCGCTGATCGCCGATTCTGTAGGTCAGGGATACGTTGTTGCCGTGATCGAGGGAGATGTGTGATTTGTCTGGATGGTCGCTCGGGTCGATGGTGCGGTGCGAGATGTATTCAAAGTCGTGGTGATGCATGGGGTCATGGTAGTCGGTGAAGTGAAAGAGTGTTTCGGACCGTTGGGGCATGGTTGGGTTCCAAGAGCTTCCTTGCCTTGCTCGATGAATGGTGATAATTTTTTTGTTCAGTAGACACAGCCAATCCAAAGACAATGGAAACAACAACGACGGATGACATTACCAATGCCAATATCGAATGGCTTCTTGACATTTTGAGGCAGTGTCTGATCGCCAAATTTGGAGACAACCCCCCTTCAACATCGACCACTTGAGTGGAAGAGGAATGTTTTTTTCTGATGAATATGGTCAGGAGCATAAGTCGTCCATGTCGCAAAGGAAATACGATCCTGTCGAGTCAGAAATCGATGAAATCATTCAAAAGACTCGAGCGTGCTTGAAGGCGCTACCACCGAACGTTCGAGAGGAACTTGATAATGCTTTGGCCAACCTCAGAGCACACCAGGAAGGCGGAATGGAGCTGAACAAAGCGATTTCCGATGAAATAGTCCCGAGGGTTCAGTTGAAGGGTGTTGGTGAAGGTGAATCAGGAAGCGGTATTGGGAGCTCGGAAGGGTCAGATGTCCAGGCGACGAGTTCTGAATTAGAGGTAGGGAGAGCCGCTCGGCTCCCCGATTCCCCAATAGGTGATGAACGTATCACCCCTACCAGCGATATAGTGTCTATGTATGAGGTGTCAAATGCAGCAGCGTCCGTTGATCCTGACTTCACATCACCAGTGTCGGGTGAAACTGAATCTCAAGTCCCTGGATCAAATGATGACGATCAGACAAGTGAACCAGCTAGTTTAAGGTCGTCAACCTCTACTGTTCGGCGGGCACCCGTAACACCGCAATCCGGAGACACAACACCCACTCAGTATAAAATCAAGCCGGTGACGCCAACCACACCTATCGACACAAGTTTACTAGATGATGACCTGGATTACAGCCCACCGTACAATCGAGAGAAATTGAAAAATAATAGGTTACAACCGATAAACACTGTAACGGAAATAGCGGGGGAGAGTCCTCGAGATCTTATTGATCAACCGAATGACACTTTACTCAACATGGTAGACTGGTGGGCTTATTATATCGACACTGTGATTTCCGAATACTCTGATGCTCTAAAAAATTCATCCAACGATGGACATACCACCGTCTCCGTGGAAGAGTGGAATGAATTCCAAACGTGGTGTGTCGACCCATTGATCGATTTTATTGACTGGCAATTCAAGTCCGGAAGAGTCGAAGAGGGGCGTGATAAGGCGAAACATTTCGTATCGACTCTGAAAATAATTTCCCAGGGTCTGGACTCTGTGGACCAAGCGTTTTCGACATACCTTTCGAGTTACCAAAGTTCCCCGAGTAATATCAAGTCGAGCAAGCTCCTTCCGAAGTGGGAGAAGAATTACTTTGAGGACGATGAGGACAGGGAACTAATGAACGTCTACGAAGACCAGGATGATATATTCGATAGTACCAGCGAATCGTACCTATGGCCATGAATTTCTGGCCCAAAAAAATCACACTCTGATGTCAAACTGACCGACAAATGGACCAATCGATGCACGCTTCGACCGCTGAGATCGAGAGGGTGTATGAACACTGTCGCTTGTGGAATGTGTATCTATGGAGTTCTATGCTATCCAAAAGCAGTAAAGTCAAGCGGAATCAAAATCAACAGCGGAGTGGTGAGTGGATTCAAGCACTTCTCGCAGATGACATGTCGACCACTCCAACGGCGACATCACCGAAGGTTAATCGGACGGCTAAGAAAGGTACGCTCAGATTCCAGAAAGCAAAAACAGCTATTGACATATTGAATACGGTGTATCAGCTTGTTTCTGCTATCGGAGAAGCGAGTGAATGCATTAGGGATGTCGTGGAGGACCAAACTAACGATTGCCTCAAACACGGAGAGGAGCGTGTGAGTCGCTTATATACCGAACTACGCGCTCATTGTAAACGTATCCATGAAAGCATATCAGTCGGTGAAAGTGATACTGCGAAGAGTGCCGATGGCATAGAGAAGGTTGTTGAAAATTTAGCGCGCTTACCAAATGACGATGGAAGCATTGGGTGGCAGCCACTGTATCCATTCAGTATGCTTCGTAACATTGTTGACACGATCGCTAGACTGAGTGACAAGTCGTCGTGGGATAGAAGGAAGCTATTTGGAATACAATTATATGAGCTCTATCACTGGTGGGTTGCATTTTCGTATGTCGCTTTTCTGGTGGTTAACTTTTACGTCAGACCTCGGATTACTGAGGAGGCACGCACAGCAACGAGCTCACACGAAGCCCTCACAACGACTGCCACACGGAAGCTGACTATGGCAGATATATACAAGCCAGAGATTGTCACAAACTACCTAGAGTCGGTGGTGGTTAAACAAGGCAAGAGTAGTGTCAATGGACAATCTATAAAGCAATGGGGGTTGTTTGTTATCCGGGCGTTTGGTGAGGCTTTTGGTGGTCCAAAGTCGAACCGAGCGCCGAGTGAAATAGTCGATGGTATTTCAAAAATCAAGACGCAGACTCAATGGTTGAGTGTCATCCTCTTGAACGTCGAGGACCGTGGTGTCATTACCGGGTCTGATGCGTGGAGTAGTGTGAGCGACGGACTCTTTGGCAACGCCGTATCAGCAGTCCCATTTAAGCAATCTACAACACCATTGGATATACTCAATACTCTGACGGAAGGCGTGGAAGCACAACTTAATGCATTTGTGACTCTACTGACACAATATCCTTTATTGGACCCGTTTTTAAATTGGTACATTATAATCATGACGATGGAGCCATTGAAAACACTGAGTGATCTCAAAAATGAAGGTTCATCACCAACGGGCGAACCCAATGTCACTGGAAGTGATTCGCTCGACCAAAGGGTACTGGCATTGCTCGCCATTTACAAGGATGCGACCACACAGGCACTTGAAAATATCGACAATATTCAAGACTGGGATGTAGATCAATGGAAGTCGATGGTCAAGGCACTGCAGAACCAGATCGAATTGACTGAGTATCGATTGGGGGGTGATACACATGCTCCGAGTCTGCAGAGAGGAAGCCGTATAGATAGCGAGACACTGATCATGCTCCGAGAGAATAACATATACTTAGAGATGATTTGCAGGGCGACCAGCGGTGCTGTTGAGAGTCCAAATGAGAGTCAGTGAAAAAAATACAATGGAAACGGCTGTGGTGTACACACTCGCTGCTATCGCACACTCTAGACCCTGGTGAATGGCATGCAGGTGAATGGTGGACATTTTTTTCACACCAGTAAAGCAGACAACGAGAGATGGCCAGCACGCTTTTCAAGATCGTGGATACCGGTTCCAATGCCGTCATTTACGATACCGTCAACCACCTGCAAGTGCTCACAAGCACGGATGCATCCAGCTCCACGGCCGGTGGAGCCCTCACCGTGAGCGGTGGTCTTGCCGTCGCAAAGAGTGCCTATGTCGGCACCAGCATGAGCGTCGGTGGGGACCTTACCGTCACAGGCAATATCTCGGGTACGATCACCGGCTCACTGTCCTCGTCGAGTGCCATCAGCACCACCAACACCACAGATGCCACATCGACCTCGACTGGATCCATCACGGCCTCTGGAGGACTTGGTGTCGGCAAGAGTGTCTATGTGGGCAAGCAGCTCCAGATTGCCCCATCGACGGTAACAGCTGCCCCACCAAGTGCAACCGCTGGTCGAGTCTTTGGCATCGCGGCATCGACATTCACCGATAGCTCCACGGCAGCATCCGGGACCAACACGGCCTTCTACGACACCTATATCGGTCAGACCACCCTCTCTGCCACAAACACTGGTGTTACGACGACCATGGCTGCCACGGTGTATATTGCTGGTGCCCCGATCGCCGGCAGCAACGAGACGCTCACCCGTGCCTATGCACTCTCGATCGGCGCCGGAGCCATCAACTCTGGTGATACGACCAACTCGACCTCTGCCTCGACGGGATCGATTGTGGTTGGCGGAGGAATCGGAGTCGGCAGCACCCAGAATTCAAGCGGTACGACCAACGGGGGCGCCCTTACCGTCGCAGGCGGTGCAGCGTTCGCTAAGGATGTCTACTGCGGCGGGACCCTCTCGACAAGCTCGGATGCCCGACTCAAGAAGCTCGGTCCGGAGCTGGAGCCCTTTGATACACTGGACGCCTTGAACACCATCCGGTGCCTGCGATTCCAGTGGAACCGTGATTTCGAGGAGGTGAGTGACCCGGAGTGGAACATTGGTCTGGTTGCGCAGGATGTGCAGGCGACCTTCCCGGAGCTGGTCAAGATCGGGTCGGATGGATTCCTGTCGGTCAACTATTCGAGTGCGGTTGCGGTGGCCCTGGCATCCATCAAGGCCCTCAACACCAAAGTCCAGAGCCTCGAGTCCAAGCTGGCATCGGTTTGAGGCAAAATGGGATGGGTCGGGCGAGATTGACATGGCCCGAGGGCGGGAAGAGCACACCCTCCAGGAGTGGTTGCTGGCGGATATTGGCGGGTTGGGTTTTGGCGGGCTGGGTTTTGGCGGGCTGGGTTTTGGCGGGAATCCTGGCCCATAAATTCGGCTCGTTCTGATGGTGCTGATTGCTCCCCAGGCAGTTGGGCAGCAGCAAATCTCAAGACCGTAACGTAAGTGCATTTCCTTCCGTGATGATACTCCATGCATGTCCGTGTGTCATGCTGTGCGATGGCTAACATGAATGTGTATCGCCAGTCTGCACGTTCCATTCGCAGAAACCAAAAATGACAATCGCAATCATGCTCCTCCTGGCCTTCGTCCTCTGGCCCATTGCCCACTGCCTACTTCATACTGCCTCTTCTACGGCCTATACTATCATTACCTACATTGCCTATATTACCTATATTGCCTGCTATCATCCGGCACAAACCATCCTATCCATCGCATTCCGCGATTACTACGCGTCGCACGTCACTATCGACGCCTCAAGACATTCCTGCCCATCCATGGCACATCCGATCCACTCGAGCCCCGCTCGCGACACCAAGACCACCAAGCTCGATCCTCTCACGTCTCAAATGGGAACCACTCCTGGAACATGACTCTGTTGATTTGATTTGATTTGATAAGCCCTCTGCCGCCGCCCATCACCAATTGGTTCGCCAGTTGAGACCTCCAGCTCTGTCTGGAACCACCGTGGCTCTGTCCACACGCGAGACTGGTTCATTGGTCTTCGCTTCAACGACCATTGTGGTCGGGTTTGAACGAAAATTTGGCGGCGGCAGAGGCGGACCTATGCCCAAATTCACACGGCATACGGACACTGTATTCGATATTTCGCATGCAATTTACTGCAATACACATCGTTTGGCCTCTTCCTCTGCCTTTCTGGCCTCTTCCTCTGCCTTTCTGGCCTCTTCCTCTGCCTTTCTGGCCTCTTCCTCGGCTCTCTTGAGGGCTTCTTCAGCTCGTCTGGTTTGGGATGAGTGAGTGGTTGGACTTACCAGGATGTGGCTGACAACTGCGTCGCTGGGAGGACCAAGGTAGAGCGGCAACTTGATGGCGTGAATTCCGTGGCGGATCCACTGGATGTTGTCGATTTGGATCCATCCTGGGGAGGTGAGCGTTGGGAGTCGGCGGGTTGCTGGGGTAAAGTTGGGTGTTTGATCGAAAGAGCGAACCCATTGGCTGCCTTGGCGGACCCAGACGAATTCTTCGCGGGTGGTTGGTTCTTTCCAACCTGGGTTCCAGTTCCGCGAACTGATTGAGTTGCCATCGGGTGAGATCGCCACGGAGGTCACATAGTGTGTGTGTCCCTCGAGGGTGTGCTTCACCTGGCCAGTCGTGGCATCCCACACCTTGATGGTCTTGTCAGCCGAGCCAGAGACAATCCACTTGCCATCGGGCGAGATCGCCACGGAGACCACCGTGTCTGTGTGTCCCTCGAGGGTGTGCTTCACCTGGCCAGTCGTGGCATCCCACACCTTGACGGTCTTGTCCATAGAGCCAGAGACAATCCACTTGCCATCGGGTGAGATGGCCACGGAGATCACCCAGTTTGTGTGTCCCTCGAGGGTGTGCTTCACCTGGCCAGTCGTGGCATCCCACACCTTGATGGTCTTGTCGCCAGAGCCAGAGACGATCGATTTTCCATCGGGTGAGATCGCCACGGAGTACACAGTATTTTGTGTGTCCCTCGAGGGTGTGCTTCAAGCTGCACGAGACAGTATCCCACGTCTTGATTCTGTTGTAGTCCCCATTCTCCACAATTGCCACAAACTTGCCATCAGGTGAGATTGCCGAAGAATAGACCTTCCCCATGTGATCGGTGAAGGTTCTCGTGATCTCCCCGGTGCTGGCATCCAAATGCTTGATTGTCAAGTTAGTTTCGACAACTACGATGGTCTTGCCATCAGGTGAGATCGCCACGGAGTTAACATCTCTTGTGTGTCCCTTGAGGGTGTGCTTCAGTTGGCCAGTCGTGGCATCCCACATCTTGATGGCACCGTCACTGGTCCAAGTGGCAAACCAGGTCCCATCTGGTGAAGTAGTCATGACGGCAACCGATCCGATTTCCTCGACCGGAGTATCCCATTCCTTCTTGACACCAACCGTAACCAAGAACGGGATCTTGTCCTCGAGTCGAGAGGCATATGTCTTGTAGATCGCGGTCTCCTTCGGTGTGAAGGCATACCCCGAGTTGTAGACCTGAGGTGCACTCTTGCTGATGGGATCGGCAAACTCCAGCACAAACTTGTGGATATCCTTGACCAGCTCCTGGGTCGATTGGTCGAATGTTTGCCCAGGTGTGTTCAAGACCATGTTCTCGAGCATACCAACCTGATTGGTCAGACCAGGGATCACGCCGATGAGGGAACCGCATTCGAGCCAGAAGAACACATGGCTTGAGAGGAATCTGGACAGTGTATCCACTAGACCGGATGGACGGTATTGTTTCCATGTATATCGATCGAGGGTGGTGTCGGTCATACACCAGACATAGTGTGTGATCCAATGGACGACGCTGTATCGGAGCGAGTCAGGTATCTTGGCTCTGACTAGGTCGTTGAAGTTTGGGATCATGTCGTGAAAGTCGTAGATCTCGCAAATGTTGACCACCGGCTCGTGCGAGAGGATCGACAGCAGGCACTGTGAGGCGAATGCCATATGAAACTTGGGGGTCACATGGAACGGCTCGTCAGCAGATTCCTTTCGAGCAGGTAGGTGACGATCGACTTGTGCTTCTGGGCCTTAGCCAATGAGCTACCCTCCTTGTTGTGGCTCAGTTTGCCAGGATCGAGGACGGGTCCAAGCTCCTTGATGCATCGACGGACGACTCGGATGTCGATTCCAAAGAGATCGGCAATCATTCGGATGGTCAGGGGAGACTGTGATGTTGCGATGGCCGAGCTTATCAGCGCGAGTTGGAGTTGATATTTGGACTTTGCATAAACGCTAGCAAAGGCACGCTGATAACCAGTACTGTCGTTACCATCAACGATCGCGAACCAGAGGTCAAAAACATCGTCCGCATCCTCGTCCGAGTCAAAATCGATCGTGGTATGGAAATTGAGCAGGTGTTGCACATCTGCCGGGTTTTTGACGGGGACTGGCTCAGATGCCAATAATGATGCAATTGGAGGAGTTCGTGAAGACGATGGCCCGGAAAATAAAGCTCGGGGAGATGAACAGTCTTGAGACGACTCGAATGAAACGGAGCTCCGAGGGGCGATGATAGTGGGCCTATACTCTCCGTCTTGAGCGGGATAGAGCTCTGTGGACTGGCGGAGGATGGCGAGGATCTCGGGGAACTTGGGTCGCTGGGAGGGGTCTTGGTGCCAGCAGCGCTCGATGAGGGCACGGATGTCGTCGGGAATGCCGTCAAACTGCTTGGGGCGAACTCCTCGGAGGACAAGGCGCTCGACGACACTCTCCTTCATCTGCTGACCATCGGCGGTGACCCAGATGTGCTTGCAGTCGTTGAAGACCTCGTAGAGGGTGACGCCAAAGGCGTAGACATCGGTAGCCTTGGATGAGCCGGTAGGACGCTCGTCATCGAGCATTTCCGGTGCAATATACTCGAGAGTGCCGCCTGTCGGCTGGTCGCGGCGGGTTCGATTGGCCGAGGCCGAGGTGTGCTTGGTGCGGGACATTCCAAAGTCGGTCACCACAGCATTGGATGAGCCATCCAGCAGCACATTGAGGGACTTGAGGTCGCCGTGGACAATGTTGTTGCCGTGGAGATAGGCCATGCCCGAGGCAACCTCATAGAGAAGGCGGATCTTTTCACCCAGAGGACGAGGGGTGGGTGCGGTGGCAAAGTGGTTGTGGAGGGTGCCGTTGGGCATGAACGGCGAGACCATGAAGGGTTTGGTGGCTGTGTCGCAGGCGCCGAGGAGTGGAAGGATATGGGGGTGACTGAGTCTGTGCCAGATGCCAATCTCACGGCCAATGTCGGCGAGTTCGTTCTGGTTGTAGCCTCGATAGAGCTGCTTGATGGCGACAGGGGCGCCATAGTACGAGGCCTTGAACACCTCGCCAAAGCCACCGGCTGCGATAGGATTGACTGACCGGTCGGTGATGGCTTCTTCAGGGATATACCAGGGTTTGTCGGCCATGGTTGACAACGGGAGACGGGACGAGGACTGAAGGAGGCGAAAACGGAGGGATACCCGCTGGACGAAGAGAAAGGAGGCAATCCTCTCTTATATTGCCAGAAAATGCGCCACCGGGGTGGATGTCGCCAACCGGGCTCAGCCATGTCCATACACGCCGGGCTGGTGATACCAGGCTCCTCTCCAGCTGTTCGATACGCGACTGCAGTGTATTATTTGCATCGAGGTATGATTAGTCGTCGAACACCATATCCTTTTCAGACTGGAAGCGAGGGGGTTGGACACCGGAGTAGAAGCGACCTGCACGACGGATCGGAGCGGGAGCAGGAGAAGGAGAGAGCTGGGCCACGAAGCTGCGGAGGTGTCATGAACGCTGACGACCCCTCACGACGAGCTAAGATCGGTGATGCGCCTGGAAGGGTTGAGGGCATCATCCTGCTCATGGAGGAACTTGGAGAAGTCCTAGAGAGAACGGGCGTTCTCAGCAGACTGGACGATGACAGCACGGATGGCCTGAAGCTCGGGCTCGGGCTCGGAAGTGCCGAGGGAGAAGGTGTGTGTGTGCAAGCCTGTAACGTCCACTACTGGGACGTTGGGGCAAGACGGGGAGGGAGGGGGTACAAGACAAGACAGGACGGGGCAGAACAGGGCGGTGCTAGGCTACTCTAGCGGACGGGTGAGCTCGGGGAGCACTTACGTTTATTCACGATAAAACCGAACTCCAGACAAACGGGGGGAACGGGGGCAACCCGCAGGTATACCCTGCGGTGGCCTGCCTGCGGTGCGTGAAAACGCAAAGCGCAGCACAGGTCACGACCCACTGCGCCGCGCAGTACGCGCAGTACGCGCAGCACAGCGTCGGAGATACCATCTCCTACACTCCCACACTTAAGAAGGCTTCCTGCGAGGAGCCCTGCGTGTAACGTCCACTACTGGGACGTTGGGGCAAGACGGGGAGGGAGGGGGTACAAGACAAGACAGGACGGGGCAGAACAGGGCGGTGCTAGGCTACTCTAGCGGACGGGTGAGCTCGGGGAGCACTTACGTTTATTCACGATAAAACCGAACTCCAGACAAACGGGGGGAACGGGGGCAACCCGCAGGTATACCCTGCGGTGGCCTGCCTGCGGTGCGTGAAAACGCAAAGCGCAGCACAGGTCACGACCCACTGCGCCGCGCAGTACGCGCAGTACGCGCAGCACAGCGTCGGAGATACCATCTCCTACACTCCCACACTTAAGAAGGCTTCCTGCGAGGAGCCCTGCGTGTGCTCTTTATTTGGGGCTCCTCGAGGTGTTTACCGTATTTACTCAGCTCCTCGGGTGCATGGGACAAGTCCTCCAGTGTTTGCCATGTGTTGCCCGAGTGTGGGTAACCAACCCACTTGACATAAAACCGAAGTGACCCATCAGCCACTTTCTTGTGCCTCACGATCCTTTCGACTTCATATTCTTGAGTATAGTATTGTCCGAGGTCGTCTTCCAGTGGTGCGTCGTCCGGGACACCTTCGTCGGCGTCGGGGAACTGTGCTGGACTGCGGGTCGTGTGGCGACGCAGCTTGGACACATGGAAGACAGGATGGAGCTTGCTTCCAGGTGGCAAGTCCAACAGGTAGTTGAGGGGACTGGGTCGGGCCGCTATCTTGAACGGTCCTCGGTACTTGGGCAACAACTTCTTTGACTGGGCTTCGGGGACCTTGATGTTGTCGGCGTCCAGGTAGACAAGGTCTCCAACTTCAAAGGAGACATCCTGGTGTCGGCGGTCGTAGTACTTCGCCATCACTTGTTGCGCATCCGTGAGCGCGTCGGCGATCATCTTGTGTCGGACTTGATGATCTTTGACAAAGGCACTTGGTTTGGGAGGCAATCCAGCCGTGGACTCGGTCAGTGTCAAGGAGGTGGGAACATCAGGCTGGAATCCGTAGAGCGCCTCAAAGGGGCTCAAGCCAGTTGTGCTCGACTTGGCGGTGTTGTATGCAAACTCTGCATGACTCAGCTGTATGTCCCAGTCGTCTTGGCTGGTCGAGGCGTATGTCCTCAGGTATTGCTCGAGGGTGCGGATCGTCCGCTCGGACTGTCCATCCGTTTGTTGGTGGTGCGAGGTTGACATGTTCAGCTTGGTGCCGAGATGGTCGAACAGACTTGTCCAAAACAAGGAGGTGAATCGGGGGTCTCGATCACTGACGATGGACTTTGGGAGGCCGTGGTGCTTGAACACATGCTTGAAGAACAGCAGTGCAAGGTCAGGCGCGGAGCATGTCGTCTGGCACGGCACAAAGTGTGCCATCTTGCTGAACCTGTCGACAAAGACAGCGATTGCATCGTGGTCCAACTTGGTCGTCGGTAGATGCGTGATGAGATCCATGGACATGCTGGTCCAGGGGCGGTCGGGAACAGGCAGGGGTTGCAGCAATCCTTGCTCTCGGGTCGTGCGTGACTTGACCATCTTGCAGGTATGGCAGGACTCGATGTACTTCTCGACGGTGCGCTTCATTCCAGGCCAGTATGCGACTTTGGCCAGTCGGTCGTATGTCTTCTCGACTCCAAAGTGTCCAGCGAGGGGCGAGTCGTGGACCTCTTGGAGCAACTTGGTCTTCAACGACGGAATGTCCGGCACACAGACACGGCTGTCCTTCTTCAGGAGGAGCAGGCCATCACGCACTGTGTACTCGGATGATTCGTCGTCCTTGGGGAGCTTAGACACCTTTCGGAACAGTTCTCCGAACTGTTTGTCGTTGGCGATGTTGTCTCGGACAACATCCAGCATCGTGTTGTCGACACTGACAGTCGACTCGTACAGTGACGCCAATTGGTAGTCGGGGCGTCGGGACAGTGCGTCAGGCACCACATTGAGTTTGCCTTTCTGGTATACAACCTCGTAGTTGTACTCGGCGAGGAACTCCATCCATCGCGCTTGGCGTCGGCTCAGGTTCTTCTTGGTGTCGAGGTAACGCAGTGACTGGTGGTCCGTCACAATCTTGAAGGGCTTGGCGGTACCGTGGAGGTACACTCGGAACTTCTGCAGCGCGTAGATGATCGCAAGCTGCTCCTTCTCGTGCACGGGATAGTTGATCTCGTGTTGGGACAGTTTGCGCGACTCGAAGGCAACGGGCCTTCCCTCCTGCATCAAAACAGCTCCCACCGCAAAGTCGGAGGCGTCGGTGTGCACGGAGACATCCGTGTTCGGGTCGAACACAGCGAGGACAGGAGCGTTCGTCAAGGCGTGCTTGAGGGTCTCGAACGCTTGGCGTTGTGGGTGGTCCCACACGAAGGGGCACTCTTTGCGGAGTAGGTCTGTGAGTGGACCGGCAGTGCGCGCCAGATCGGGGATGAATCGGCGGTCTTGTGGACATCATCCTCGTGGATGCGGATCTGATGGTAGCCTGAGCGGAGGTCTATCTTGCTAAAGACCTTTGCTCCACTCAGACGATCCATCAACTCGTCGATCCTGGGCAACGGGTAGGTGTTCTTGATGGTCTGTTTGTTTAGTGCGCGATAGTCGACGCACATCCTGAGATCACCTTCTTTCTTCTTGACAAAGAGCACTGGTGCACCATACGGTGACTGGCTCGGGCGGATGAACCCATGGGCGAGGAGGTCATCCAACTGGCGCTTGAGTTCGTCCATCTCCGTCAGCGACAGTTGGTACGTCGGTCTTGACGGAGGCGACGAGCCTGGTTCGATGTCGATGCGATGATCGACGGTGCGTTGGGGTGGCAGGCATTGTGGCAACTGGTCGGGGAATACGTCCTTGTACTCGTCGAGCAGCTTGGTCACCACAGGCGGGGGACCGGGACCGGCTTGGTCGGTGTCGTCGACCTCACGCACGACACAGAGGAACGACGTGTCCTTCTTGATCAGCCTCTTGAATTGCATGGCTGAGAGGAGAGGTGGCATGTTGGGTGAGGCCATGCCCTGCAGGACAATGTCAGGGCCAACACGGACAGTGCGGCCTTTCCAGTCGACGACTGGAGTCGGCTCGGCACGAGCAAGCCAGCTCATGCCGAGGATGGCATCGAACTTGGTGTCGATCACTTGGAACAACAGGACAGGATGGTACTTGGGATGGAGGGCCACTCGCAGGACCACTTGGTGTGTGCACTGCTGCACACGATCGTCTGCAAGCGCCACACTCATCGGCGACTTCTTCTTGGTTGCATGTATGTTGAGCTCCTGGAGCAAGCGTCTGCTGACAAAGTTGCAGCTTGCTCCAGAGTCCACCATCATTCGGACGGTGTGACCTTGGACGGTGGCAGGGAGGTACAGCAGGGACTCTTCATGGTCCTCCTGCACAGCCTCCTGCACCATGACTTGACTTGGGGGAACGGGCGACACTTGGTCTTGGTTGGCTTCATCACGGCCACTCGGACATTTTGGATAGGGTTCGGCCATTGCGGGGGCCTGCGGCGTCAGCACGCCATTGCACACGACGTCCACGGCTTGCGGACACATGTCGGAAGCATCCGACACACACGACTTGACAGGGGTGAGGGCACAGGCGGTCCTGTCCCTCAAGGGTTCTTGATTTTCTTTTTTGTTTTGGTTTTCAATTTTGGTTTTCTCTTCACGTTCGTGGAGAGGCAGGCGGCTTGCGCCACCATGCACCTCTCGCACGACGCACAACACTTGGTTTGTTTCTCCTTCGGGGGAGGGGGCGAGGTGAACTTCCTCTGGAGACGCGTGGACTGCATTGAGCAATCCACGGCGTTGGTCTCCTACTAGGGCTCCAGAGCCACCTAGTAGGGTCGGCCGTTTCCCGACTTCATGGGGCACTCCTTGGCCTGGTGTCCCGGTCGGTGACAGAAGAAGCAGGAACCATGGCGGAGGTCCTCCTGCTTCTGTCTGTCCTTGGGGGAGACAGTGGCAGCTTGCTGGAACCGGGAGCGGGGAGGGCCACGAGCCTCCATGGCGTTGACGTCAACGTCCATGGGCTCAGGCATGGGTCTTGCGGGCGGGGCCGGGCGAGGCGGACGGGCTGGGACGTGATGAGACCGATGGCCGCCTGCCAGCTGCGGGTAGAACTGGCGGCCATGGTACTGGACGTTGTCGAGGTTCTCGGCAACGTCCATCATCACGTCCAGGGACTTGCGGGCATCAGGGTTGCTGGCGATGTACTCTCTGATCTTGGGCTTGAGGCCCTTCTGGAAGAGGTACATCGCATCAGCAGAGCCCAGCTCCTCAATCTGGGAGGAGAGGTCTTCAAACTCCTCGATGTAGCGGGTCACAGAACCACGCTGCACGAGAGAGTATAGCTTGTCACGGGCAATGAGTTCAGCATTGGGGCTGCCGAAGCGGCGACGGAGGCGGTCCTTGAAGTCGTCAAACACACCTTCGCTCTGCTCGTCGAACCCTTGGCGGCGGTACCAACGGTACGCCTGGTCCTTTAAGCAGAGCTTGGCGGCGACGATGTGGTGGGTGGGGGCGACTTGGGCAGCATCGAGGTAGTCCTCGAGTTGCTGCAGCCAGTCCTCCACCGAGGAGGAGCGGCTCTTCCCAGTAAACACTGGGGCACGGAAGGTCTTGAGGAAGGCTTCCGGAAGTGGGCGGGGGTTGCTCATGGCAGGGGCAGGCTCCAGGGACAGAGAGGAGAGTCGGTCGGCAAGAGAGGCGGGATCCAGCTTGAGGATCTAGAAAGAGGACAAACAGGACGAAAACAAGACGAGGATTTCCGATGCTACCATGTAACGTCCACTACTGGGACGTTGGGGCAAGACGGGGAGGGAGGGGGTACAAGACAAGACAGGACGGGGCAGAACAGGGCGGTGCTAGGCTACTCTAGCGGACGGGTGAGCTCGGGGAGCACTTACGTTTATTCACGATAAAACCGAACTCCAGACAAACGGGGGGAACGGGGGCAACCCGCAGGTATACCCTGCGGTGGCCTGCCTGCGGTGCGTGAAAACGCAAAGCGCAGCACAGGTCACGACCCACTGCGCCGCGCAGTACGCGCAGTACGCGCAGCACAGCGTCGGAGATACCATCTCCTACAAAACATGTTCTTTCCGGTATCGGCCTGCTCGAGCGACGGAGATGGATCGGCAACCATGTAGTATCCGAGGATGATGATCACGGCCAAGTATACAAATAGGTACACTGGAACGGGCATCTCTTGCAATGGAGGGTGTGTGGCTACCATCGGGCGACAAAAAAACGCAGTAAGGCCTTCGATACACATGTACAGCATGACGCACCAGCGATGGAGTTGCCACTTGAAGTCTGGGGCGAGATCGCCTCGTTCCTCGACATTCGATCGTGCTTGGCACTGACACGCACCTGCCGCCGATTCCTCGCATTTCATCAACCTGCATGGGAGGATACGATCTACCAGTGCTGCATCAACACCCGCAGCCTCTCGCTGATCCAAGTGATCATGCGACCAATCCCGGTTCTGTGGCGGAACGACAGCGTCCTTCGACACTACACGCGCTTCAGCTCGATGATGCACAAGGAAGCAATGGTCTGTGAACTGCTCCGGCGTAGCCCCACATCCACTAACGATCCCGGTTTCCGAATTCTGGAAATGCTGCTCGCGTGTGGAGTGTCGCCGCACGGAGATATTGCTGCCCGATGCATCATGTGCATCCAGAACCACGATGTCTTGGCACGTATCGTCCCTGTGATGACAGCCAATTGTGCCCGCAGGGGCGAGGAATCACTGGCGTTGTTTGCCAAGACCGCAGTTGAACGAGCGATACAGACGGGTCGCCACGAATTCATTCAAGCCTTCCTCGGGCAAGTGACACTCGATCTGGTGGACAGCATGCACTACTTTGACTGGGATCTCATCAACGAAGCCATCTATGCCGAGAGCACGATCGTGCTGGATCTCTTCTTCCAACACCAATGGCCTCGCCCCAGGCAGGATATCGTCCAGCAAGCTGCCATCATTGGATCCAAGCGCAGCAGTGCTGTCGTTGTCGAATGGGCACTCGGCCACAATCAACTGGACGACCCTCGTGTGCTCCTCGGCCACATTATCAGCCTCTCTCCCGAGATCCACGACCTGGTTCTCCGATTCTTCCCGAGCGAGGCGACCCGTCTCCTGAAGCGACTACTCAAGTCACATCCAAACTCCGACCCACAGCCCTTGATCTACTACTGCGTCTGTCGATCGCCGCAGATCGACGCGGGCGCCCTGGTGCTCACTGCGAGATACCAGAAACTCGAGCTCTTGCGATTCATGCTGGAGCAGATGAATCCGGAATCGTACGGGTCGGATCTGTGGTTCGACCTCCTCTGCAGCTCGGGACACAGCAACGCAACCGTGGCATTCGTTCTGCACCACCACTGCTACAGCACCAAGGAGCAAGTCGATGCACTGCGCCGATTTGTGGTGTTTGGATTCGAGCCTGGAACCAATGTGATTCTGGACATGCTCGACGATCGCGATCTTCCCGACGACATCTTGTTCCGGGCATACTTCAACATCAGCGAGTTCACTGGGATCTGTGTGTACACCCTGCTGCGTCGGGTGCTGCACATCCCCAGGATCATTGGATTCCAGGAAATGGGCGAGACCGTCCTGGAGCGGGTGATCCGCTTGCGAATGTGGTCGCACATCGTGCCTCTGGTGGATGCCGGGGTGCGGGTGTGCAATTCGCATGTGTTGCTGGCGAATGTGTATGCATGTCCCAACCGCATTTCGTGTAAGCTGGTCGTGAATGCGCCCCAGGAGGGTGAATAAAAGTCAGCTCTCTCTTGTAGAGCATCACATTCTGCGTCTGGTCCCAAGAATGTACATGATTGATCAGATCCCCAAAACCATGATCCCACAGGACGCCATCCGCAATGCGGGGTGTGAAGTTGAGCCCAGATACACGGAGAGCACGCACACCGACTACCCCGGCCTCGTGCTGACCAGCAAGTGCAACGGACGAGACAACTTCCAGGCGTACATCCAAAGCGCCAAGGGTGACAAGATCCTCTATCCATGCAATCCCAAGGAGATCAACGACATACCACAGGAGGGTGACGGGCTCGGTAACATCGTGTCTGCCCATGCTGCTTCCGACGGCACGCTGATCCGCTTGGGTCACATCGGCGGCAAGTGGATCATGAGTTCCAACACATGCATCAATGCCCGAGACGCTCGCTGGGGTAGTTTCAAGAGCTTCTATACGCTCTTTGTGGATACGCTGAAGGAGCGTAAGCTGACTTACCAGGATTTCATTCATAGCCTTGACCCGAGCCGCACCTACCACTTTAGTCTCGAGCACCCGGAGAACCGCAACGTGATCTTCTATCCGAACCCACGAATTGTCTTCCTAAGCTGTGCCGATGCCAGCACCGGTGAACCAGTCCTTTACTCACGCGTATCGATGCAGCCACCCACAGGGACTGAGTATCCGCCGATTGTGCTCTCTGCCAATATCCGCGGAGTCATTTACACTGCCCAAGATGGACGAGTCTACAACCACGATCTGCCTTGGTACAAGCGAGCCGGTGAACTCAAGGGGAACGAGAAGAACCTGCTGCACGCCTACTACCGGGCCTGGTGCAATGGGAACGGTGAAGAGTTCATGCGGCTCTTCCCGGATGTTGGCTTCAGTCAAAAAAAAGCCAATCTCTATATCCAGCACTTTCTTCGGCTCGTTCTGCAGCTGTATCGCAGAGTCCATGTGCAGCGGGTGTGCAAGGACGATGTGCTTTTGGACCGTGGCAGTAACGTCGGCCTGTTTGAGATTGTAGACCGCATGCTGGAGGTCTACAACGAAATGGGCACACCCATGCGACTCCCGGAGACGGCGACGGTGGTGGGTACATTTAGCGGACGTTTTATTCATGATGCCATGCGAAACGTCCTGTTTGTGGATCTCTGAACTGAAACTCAGAAATCAGCTTCGAGGTCAAAGACCTGAGGCACACCACCCAATACACCGGCCTTTCTGTACTCGCCCACGCGCTTTTCGAAAAAGTTAGTCTTGCCCTGGAGAGAGATGAGCTCCATAAAGTCAAAGGGGTTGAGAGCGTTGTAGAGCTTGGGGTAGCCGAGAGCGACGAGGAGGCGGTCGGCGACAAACTCAATGTACTGCTTCATGAGAGTGGCGTTCATACCGATGAGGGCACAGGGGAGAGACTCGGTCATGAATTCCTGTTCGATGGCGACGGCGTCCAAGATGATGGCCGTGACGGTCTCGGCCGGGGGCTTCTCGGTGAGCTTGGAGTAGATCAAGCATGCAAAGTCAGTGTGGAGACCTTCGTCGCGCGAGATCAGCTCGTTGGAGAAGGTCAGGCCGGGCATGAGGCCGCGTTTCTTGAGCCAGAAGATGGAGGCAAAGGCACCCGAGAAGAAGATGCCCTCGACAGCGGCAAAGGCGAGGAGGCGCTGGGCAAAGGGGGCGTCTTGGTCCTCGATCCACTTGATGGCCCAGTTGGCCTTCTTCTGGATGCAGGGGATGGTCTCGATAGCACCAAATAGGCGAGTGCGCTCCTCCGTGTCCAGGATGTAGGTGTTGATCAGCTGGGCGTACATCTCCGAGTGGATGTTCTCCATCATGATCTGGAACCCGTAGAAGGCGCGGACCTCGGGGAGCTGGGTCTCGGCATAGAAGCGGCCGCACAGGTTCTCGTTGACAATACCGTCCGAGCCGGCAAAGAAGGCGAGGATGTGCTTGATGAAGAAGCGATCGTTGTCGGTGAGCTTGTGCTGCCAGTGGGGCGGGTCTCTGGCGAGATCAACTTCCTCGACGGTCCAGAAGGAGGCCTCGGCTTTCTTGTACATGGTCCAGATGTCATTGTACTGGATCGGGAAGAGCGTGAAGCGCTTGGAGCTGGGAACGAGGAGGGCGTGGTCAAAGGACGACATATCTGGCATTGGTGCAGAAATTGTACTAAAGGAAAAATCACACATGTGAGGTATAGGTCCTCCCAACGGCAGACCGACACCCGGCTTTTAAACCCCATCCCGACCAGAACGACCATGTCCTCCCACGCCGACCACGATGAGCCTGCGCAGTTTTCACCCCCCCAGAGTCCAAACTCCACTCCTCGATCCCGACCGGAGACGGAGGTTAGCGACGATGTTGACCCCGACCCTGTCCTCGAGACGGGGTCCGTCGTCCGCAGCAGCAACAACGATCCCCGCCTCGAGATGGAGGTCACCCGATTCCGCCGGGAGATCGAGGAGTATGCCAGCCTGACCGGGCAGGTGGTGGATGTGCGCGGCCAGGTCAAGATCCTGCAGGCACGCATCAAGGAGCTGGAACCGGGTATCCAAAAGTTCATGCGAGATAACGGCGTGGATGCGATCGACTTGCCCAATGGCAGCATCAAGCTCCAGTCGAGCACCCGCATGGCACCGGTCAAGAAGGAGAATATCATTGACCACCTGTGCCGCACCATGCCCAAGGACACTGTCGAAGCCCTCGTCGAGAGCCTCTGGGCATCGCGCGAGAGCACCACACTCGAGAAGATCAAGCTGACCAAGGCCAAGAAGCAAAAGACGCAGTGAGAGGAAGAGCTCAGTTGGGCACACCAGATGTATTGGATTCAATATACTTGACCACTTTGGTGACAGTAATCTTTGTCAACCCGACGACACTCAGTATGGCAGGGGTGAGATCGGGCAAGTGGAGTGCAATGCACCCAGCGGCAGTGGAGACCGGGGAGAACTGCTCCATTGAGCCGGTGGCAACAAGAGATTCGACCCTGTGTACAATCGTACGCTGCTGGTCTCCAAAGATGCCGAGTTTGTTGCAGTACATCTGAGCGTGATCGGCAGCGGACATGGGTGCGACTGAAGGATGGCCGTGGATATCCAGGAGGATGCTGCAGCCCTTGGTGAGGAATCTCAACGGGACATGGAATTGCTTGACAAGCTCGCGCTGACCGATGGGTGAGTTGGCCCGTTCAAAGGCAAAGTAGAAGCAGGCGATTTGAATACCGATACGGGTGTCGCCGCGATAGAGGACATGGTCGCGATTGGATTTGATGGATGGGCCCGGTTTGAGCTTTGCCATGGTGTCGACGTAGATGGCGGCGGCCGACTCGGTGATGTGGTTGTGGATCTTGAAGCTGTCGCCGAGGGAACGAATCTCGCGCAAGTACTTGGAGCGAAGACGGTCCGAGCTGGAAAAGGTGGCCCAGAGATGGTAGCGCTTTCTCTTGGACATGCCGTCGCCGTTTCGGATGTACGATGTGGCAGGGATGGTTTCCATAGCCATCAATGCACTGGAATCGCCAAGGAGAGGGCGGTTGAAGCAGATGCCACACAGCGCACATGCCTCGAATCCGTTGTTGTCGATCGTGTTGCCGTTGCGTTCGCAGTCGCAATCGCACTTGGAAGGTGATGGTGGTGCTGGTTCGGTGATGAAACTGAAGCTGTCGCTGTCAATGTCGATGCATTGAGACCAGATGGTGTCGATGAGCGATTCGTCGAGTGCTATGGGTGCGGATGGCATGTCGAAGAGTCGCCGTCAATGATATTCTGGTACGGATTGCTTAGAGTGATTTTTTTCGATCGCTCACAGGCAGGCTAGCGAAGCACCAAACAACATGGATCCGGCCACTATCCTTGCGATTACGAACACTATATGTGGGACTCTGCTCATTGTCTCAGAGACCCTGCCGTTCATGCGCAACTCGCCCTACAACGGCATCATCGAGACCCTGGCGAGTCTCATGCTCGGGTGGAGACCCCCTGGTCCCACAACAACCGCAACCACGACGACAGGGCCCTCCACCGGTCCTGTGGTCTATGTCGCTCCGATTCCCCCGGAGCCAGCGCCGTCTCCGCCCACAGCAGCTGCGAGCCCGGTGGGAAGTCCAATTCCGTTCGCCACCACGGTGGTCACGACCACCACATCGACATTTTCGCACTGAGTCCCCGCCTGCGAGAAAATCACAGTAAAGAAAACCATACTAGTATAATCAGCAGGCGTCCTGAGACAACCCCAGACACAAGCACGCCGACATGATGATGGACTGTGACGACCAACCGCAGCAGCACCGAATGACATATCACACGCTGGACTATGACCGCCTCCTGGAGGTGTCCACGGTCAAGTCCAATGTGTTCAAGAACATAGTTGAGGCCCTGAAGGTAGTCATCACAGAGGCCAACCTGATTTTCACACCCGAGGGGATCCGGCTGGCTTCCGTGGATACCCGCAAGTACGCCCTGATCCATCTGGGGATCGACAGGGACGCCTTTGAGATCTACCACGTCCCACACAAAGTGGTCGTGGGCCTGGACATGATCCATCTCCACAAGATCTTCCGCACGATCGTGGCCAATGACACCCTGACGTTCTTTGTGGACAAGTCCAACACCTCCAAGCTCGGCTTGCTAATCAAAAACTCGGAGCGGAAGGCGGTCAACAAGTTTATGATCCCGATGCTGCAGCTGCCAGAGTACTCTGTCTGCGACATCCGCGAGTTTGAGCATGCTCCGCCCGAGATCCACAGTGGGGACTTTCAAAAGATCTGCCGGGACATTGCCTCCATGGGGACGGAGGTTATTGACATCACCCTGTTCAAGAAGCAGCTGATCTTCAGCAGCCGCGAGAGCGTGATCGAGCATGAGGTCCATGTCGATGTGCTGAACCACACGGCGATGGGCGGAACCGGGGCGGAGACGGACATTATCCAAGGGACTTTCTTCCTCAAGTTTCTGGTGGGGTTCTCCAAGGCGGTGCACTTATCTCCGCGGGTCCGCGTGATGATACAGAACAGCTGTCCGCTCATACTAGAATACCAGATCGAAGCTCTGGCAAAGTCATCCCTGAAGTACGTCTTGAGCCCCGTCAAGACGGGGGACATGGGCGGGGCTGTCTGACCGCGCTAATCTCCGCCCGCGAAGGGGGAAGGCCAGCCGCACCGATCGCCGCGCATGGCCAGCGCGACCTCCCGGACTCGGACAGGGAGCCCCACATAAAAGCCGCATTCACCGGCCTCCAGCAGCACCACACCACCATCGGCCAACGCACTCCCTTGATCACTCTTCCACCATTCAGCACCTTCATCGCTACTACCAGCGCTACCACCAGCAACCGCTCCACGTCCGTCTTCTGACACCCCTCCTTGACTTTGCCATTCTTGTATCCGGCGCCTATCTGCTTGCCAAACTTGCCTACGCCCTCATCTACATGTCTCTCATTCTCTTGGTTGCCCTTCTTGTGATCGGTTTGCCCTTCATTTCCGCTGCCCTTTTCGCTACAGCATGGCAAGAGTCTTAATCACCTCCGGTCCTTACAGTGGCTTCACTGGCACCATTTCTTCTGCCTATAGTTTTGTTGATCGTGACTCTGATTCCCCCAACACCTTCAGCTCTGTGATCATGGTCAGGTTGGATATCCACCCCGATCAAGAGATCAGACACAACGGAGGCTGGCGCTTCTTTGATGTCATCTTCAGACATCAAGGAGTCGTCACCTTCGGTACGATGATCCGTGACTCGAGAACCTGGAACGTGTTCTCCTCGAACGGATTCTATCACGTCCGTGTCGGCAACAGCTCTATCCGTGTTGCCATCAAGGACATCATCCACACGACTGTGGTTTCCTACTCCCTCGATGCCCTCGGTATCGACTACAACCCTTCAATCGAGCCCGTCCCAGAGAACCTCAAGAGCGGCATCCATCACCCCTACATCCAGAACAATCGCAAGCGTGCTCCTCCTGGTGCCCCCATCAAGAAGAACCCCACTCGCGACTATCGCACCCACTCTGCATCTCCCTCTCCCACCCCTCACACGATCGATATCCCAACCACCCCTCCCATGAAGGATGGTAATGGAGTTGAGCGAGGTTCTCGCATTTTGTGATTGCGTATGTTTTCAAAATATACTTTGTGGTTATTCTGTAATACCCGTTTCGAAACTCTCAGTATCGTTCAATATGTGATTCTGCGTTGCTATTGAAGGGATGGGGTCAGTTTCGTCGAGCAAGAATGGATGTTGCCTCCACTGTATTTCGTTTCTCAGGAACGTATTATCGGGATCATCTTCTGCTTGTGAGGCATTGAAAAATGCCCATGGATAAGGCTGTGAAACGACGAATGGTGTCTTGAAAATGTCTCGCGAAAGGAGGACTGAAATGAGGTATTGATAGGGTTTGATAACCAATTCGTCTGGATACTCTGCATTCAAGCCATGCCAATTGGTGCACATCGAAAGAATCTTGGGTGCTGTGTTGAACATCACTCTCAAGAATCCTTTTGTTTCTGTGGATACGATGTTGTCTCTTGCGCGAATCAATCTGTTGCGATTGATTTTTAACCGCTCAGCGAAACCTGCAATGCGATTTGTGATATCTCTTCCAGTAGCAGGATCGATTACGGCACCAAATATCGAGCCGTCTAGAAAACTGAGAATATTTCTCTGACTGCGTTTATATGCGTCTGTGTCTGTGTTTGTCGATGTACAATTTACAAATCGTCTATCGAACAGATTAATACCAAAATCCCGAATACTTAACCGGGTAGCATTTGCGACGTGTGTGTTGATATGCGTTAATGCCGGCCTTGAAAATATCGTTTCCGTGCGACTGTAGAATATCTCTGATCCCCAGAAGAGCTTTTCAAGCATGATCAAGGCTGCTTCTTTGTTAGAGTCCAAAGGGGACTCAACGGCAAAGGAAGAAGTGAGCTCGAAGTGAGCTCAGGGAAAACAAGGGTAAAGTCCGAAGTGGACTCGGAGAGGGAGCGAGGGAAGCAAAGATCCGTTCAAGATAAGACTTGTCTCGAAATGAGACGTGAGGAACACTCAGAGAATAAAGTAGAAGGCACTTTATTTAGTCCTATTTTGAACGCTGAGGTTCGACTACACATCGCGGGGGTCAGGCTATTTATAGACAAGTCCGGACTTGGCAGCGAAGGGCGGCCAAGGGAGGGAAAAGTGGGCGATCGAGCAGGGCGAAGGGGGCGATGCACGAACGAGGGCCGAGAAGGACCACCGAGACAGGCAGAGAACCAAAGCGAGAGAGGCGCAAGCAAAAGCGAAGCACCTGGCAGGAGAAACGTGCAAAGGCGAAGCAATGTGACTCAACATCCAAGAAGCGGATTGGTCAAGTATAAGGTTGGGGCAAATGCGTGCGAGATGAACAAGAGATCGGGGCGGTCAGGCAGGTCATGAGTCACCGGTGGGGGGACACATGACCGGCAGCCGAATTGCAACCAATCGCAGCAAAGCGCGTGTACAAACAAACCGGCGCGTGCGAAGAAGACAAAGGAAGCGGAGCAGCGCGGGAAAACGGAAGTGCGGAAGGAGCGGAAAAGACAGGCAAAGGGCGGAAAATCGGAGGGGAACTGCAAGGCTACACACAAACAAACAGAAAGGCAAAAGAACAGCCAAGTGTGCATTCAAAGTGGAGAACAAGCAGAAGCTATCCCTAACATCATCCCCTTCCTTAGCGACGAACTCCGGGCGTCGCCTTCGGCTTTGAGGGATAGCGAAGGTGGAAGTCAGCAACAAGATCAGTGGCGTGGGAAACATTGGCAGCGGGCTCCCAAGACCGGTCAGTCTCGGAATAGCCCTTCCACTGAACCAAGTACTGTAAGCGACCACGGAAGAGCCGAGAATCGAGAACAGTCTCGACCTCAAACTCTTCCTGGGAGTCAACAAGAATGGGAGGTGGTTCAGGTTGGGTGAACTCGGGAACAATGTCCTTCGTTCGGGGTTCAAGGAGGGATACATGAAAGACGGGGTGGACTTTGAGTGTGGAAGGGAGTTTAAGTTCAAAGGCAACGGGGTTGATGCGGCGAAGAACTTTAAAGGGGCCAAGCTTTTTCTGATCAAGCTTGTTGGAGGGACGAAGGGTGCGGATGTGGCGACGATCAAGAAAAACGAGGTCGCCAACGGAGATGTCGGGAGTGGGGAGACGGGATTTGTTGGCCTGCAAAGTGTAGGACTCTTGGGCAACCCGGAGGTTGGCCTTGAGATCCTCGAGAACGGTCTGAAGTCGGTCGACACGTTCTTCGGCAGAGGGCACAACAGAGGGATCACGGATGATGGAGGGATCAAAAATGGGGTGATGGCCATGAACTGCAAAGAAGGGAGTCATGCCAGTGGAGGTGTTTTCCGAGTTGTTGTAAGTGAACTCGGCAAGGGGAAGGTGAAGGGTCCAGTCGTCTTGCAGGTAATTGCAATGGATACGCAAATACTGCTCGATGACCTGGTTGAGAACCTCGGTCGAACCGTCGGTCTCGGGGTGGAAGGCAGAAGAAAGGGAAATCTTCGTCTTCAGAAGCTCATTGAAGCGCCTCCAGAAGGCCGAAGTAAACTGAGTTCCTCGGTCCGAAACAATAGACCGGGGACAACCATGCAAGCGGAAGATGTGGGAGAGGAAGAGTTCGGCGGTTTGCTCGCCTGTAACCGTCTTCGTGGTGGGCACAAAGTGTGCTTGTTTGGACAGGCGGTTCCTTAACCACGAAGATCGAGTCAAAGCCGTTCGAAGGTGGGAGATCCGTGATGAAGTCCATCGACAGGTCCCACCAACGTTCGGAAGGAACGGGGAGAGGGTGAAGTAAACCATAAGGGGAGTGACGGGACGGCTTGGCTCGCTGGCACGCTTCACAATTAGCAATGAAGCGACGCACAGACTTACGAAGCCGGGGCCAGTGAAAGTCCCGGGAGATGAGCTCAACGGTCTTGGCAAGACCAAAGTGACCAGCGGCAGCGGAGCAGTGACGTTGCTCAAACACTTTGAGCTGGAGCTCGGGGGAAGGGACAACGATCAGGTCTTTAAAGTAAAGGAGACCGTCACGGGAAGAGTAATCGCCATCAAGACGTTTGGCGTTGAAGTCAGAAAGAAGGGAACAAGAAAGGGTGGCAGCTCGAATCTCGGAAAGAAAATCGGGATCCGAGCCGATGACGGTGATGCTGTCGAGAGAAATAGACTCGAACAGCTGAAGGAAGTTGGTGGAGTGGAGGGAGTCACCAGGCTTTATCTCAAAGTCAGAACGGCGACTGAGAGCATCGGCTTTGGTGTTGAGGCGACCAGGGCGGTGGTAAATGCGAAAAGCAAAATCAGAAAGGAATTGGGCCCACCGGAACTGGCGGCGTGAAAGTTGGGAAGCGGCAGTGAACCGGGTAAGGTTCTGGTGATCAGAGAAAACAAGAGTGGGATGATCGGGGTCGGCAGCCATCAAGTAATGACGCCAGGCAGTAAAGGAGTCGACAATGGCAAGGAGCTCTTTGTCGTGGGTGTCATAGTTCACCTCGGCAGGACGGAATTGCCGAGAGTGAAAAGCAACGGGGTGAAGAGCGCCGTCAGGGTCAAACTGGGAAAGGACGGCACCCAGAGCAAAGTCAGAAGCATCGGGCTCAATGACAGCGGGTTTGGAGAAATCAAAGTAACGAAGGATAGGTGCGGAAGTGAAGGAATGTTTAAGAGAATCAAAAGCCTCTTGGGCCTCGGGAGACCAAGAGAAGGTGGAGGATTTGGTGGTGAGTGAAGTCAAAGGACGAGCAAGTGCGGAAAAGTCCTTGACGAAGCGGCGGTAAAAGTTTGCGAAACCAATAAAGACTTGGATGTCGCGAGCAGAAGAGGGAACAGGCCAAAGGGAAACGGCCTCGACCTTGGCAGGGTCCATTTTGATGCCATCGGCAGAGATGATCATGCCGAGAAAATCAACTTCAGAAAGGTCAAAAGAACACTTGGCCGGATTGACCTTAAGAGAGTGTTCACGAAGGCGAGAAAGAACAAGCTTAACATGCTCCTCATGCTCCTGGGGATCTTTTGAGAAGATCAGGATGTCGTCAAGATAAATGACAACACAGACACCAAGGAGGTCCGAGAAGATGTCGTTCATAAAAAACTGGAAAGCAGCGGGGGCATTTGAAAGACCAAAGGGGATAACATTGTACTCAAAAGAGCCAGATTTACAAACAAAAGCAGTCTTCCACTCATCGCCCTTCTTGACACGAACCAAGTGGTAAGCATCAGGGAGGTCAAGGTGTGAGAAGACGCGGGCAGAAGAAAGTTTATCCAGAAGATCCTGGAAGAGGGGAAGAGGGTAACGATTCTTCTTCGTGATGGCATTGAGGCCCCGGTAGTCGACGCAAAGGCGAAGACCACCATTGGGCTTCTTCACGAAGAAGCAGGGAGCACCAACGGGAGAAGAGGATTTGGAGATCCAACCACGTGCGAGGGCGTTGGTCAGATACTCCGAAAGAGCAGATTCCTCGGCCGGGGACAAAGGATAGACTTTCCCCGGCTTTGGCAAACGAGGTTCCTTTCCATCCTCGGTCCGTACAAACTCAATAGACAAGTCATACGGACGATGAGGAGGCAAGGAAGAAGGAGGGTCAGACTTGAGGCTGAAAACGTCGCCAAACTCATTGTATTTGAGTGGGACACCTCGGGAGTCAACAGGGGTGCCAGACTCGGCATACACCTTCGTCGTGAGCACGGACCTTATCGACACCGTAGGATACGTCTCCGGCGAAGGAGGACGGATATCCATTTGGGCAGCGAAAATGTCGAGCTTGTCTTCCCGTGCAAGACGGAGAAGACTCGCCGCATTAACGAGCTCAATGTCGGGTGAAGATAAAGCCGTTGGCTCTTCAGAAAGCGAAGCAGAGTCAAGGCGGGAAGAAAGGGAAGGCGAAGTGCCAAAGGAGGGAACCGGTGTAAGGGAAGGACCGGAGGGAGGAGTCAAAGGCGAAGTGCCCGAAGGGGGAGGCGAAGAGCCGGAAGCGGACGGAGTGTCCAAGGAAGAAGCAGAGACATCCGCGAGGATGTGTCCATCAGCAAGGCAAGAGGGATCGGAGAATGAAAGGGAGAGGGACTTCCAATTAACAACTGGATTGTGCAAGCGCATCCAGGGAAGACCAAGAGTGATGGGAGTGGTGGAGAGTCGAGTCACAAGAAAAGAAATCGACTCGGTGTGGGAACCAATGGTC